GCTTACCATCCACACAAATATCACCTGAATAGATAGGCAATAAAAGCCCTTCTTGCCAGAGGACCTGAGGACATTAACTGCTGTGGGAGATACCTGCACATCAGTGGGCTGAAGGTGACAATGTGTTGAATGAAATCATGTGGCTAATAAAGTGCTTTTGTAGTTGTAAGATGCCAAATTAAATGTGGCAATACTCCCAAAAAGGGGCATTGGCATTTTTCTTTTTTAACTAGTCCTGTAATGTTATCACCACACTTACAGTCAAGCTCAGCCTCCTGTTCCACCTGCAGAGACGGACCTCTGGTGTTGTGTGCTGCCCACTACAATATATCACCTCAGTACAGTATCTGAATAGCAGTTTGATAAAAAGAGGAGTATCTGTATTTTTGATGGTATTAAAATCATACTTCCGGGATTCCTAAATAACCCTGTATAGTGTAATACCTTGATACCACCCAAGCCTAGTGGACTGTCAGGAAATGCTAAAACATGAACTTGTGACTCAAAGCAACCTATTCTATTATGACTTTAAGCAGCTGTGCGGAACTTTATGTTTTCATTGATTATAGTGCCCCCCTTTGGTCGAAGTGGTAGGACACCCACAGCCTGGTGTCGTAAAATTCCGACTGCAGCCGACATTCGGCTTCATTCGTAAAATCTCGACTGCAACCGGCAATTAACGCATGCATTTGTTTTGGAGAGCAAGAGGAAAATCATAAATGTTCTGGTGTAGGCCTAAATTTCTTATAAACTGAGGACAACTGCCTGCTGTATATTTGTGTTCATGGTCACAGTCACAGATAATTTTGTGGCGTTTGTTGTAACGTTACTAGACAAAAGCAGTTCACATCAGCTAACGTTACATTTAGCTTGCTTATAACTACCATGTTATCATATATTGCAGTGAAACAACGTCTAACAAGTTGCGGTATATTCTCTAAATAAAAACAAAAATTACATACCTGTAGATTAGGAAAAGGGCCAACTCGGGATCAGTTTTAAAACCTTTCAAATCTCTCAGCTCTCTCCACTTGGTGAATGCCCGACTGAGGTTTACAAGCATTTGGGCTCAAGCCCTATCACTGTCCCGTTTAGCCTTCTTCTGTTCTTGTGTTCTTTTTCTTTTAGATGGTGCTCCTTCTTTATCCGCCATGACATCAAAAGTACAACCAAGTCCTTATAGATACATCTGGTAAAACTGTTATGTGTTCAGCAATGCCTGTTGTGTACCGCTTACTCAAAGAACACTCTCTGTAAACACGGTTCTTCTTCTTCTCTCAATTTATTGGCGGATCGCAAACAACTTCCAGGTGCATACCACCAACTACTGTACAAGAGTGCAATGTGTCTGAAATCATTTACTACTCCCTACTACATGTCATTTAGCCTGTTTCTTAAATCCTACTCGTAAACACAGCTCCTTCTTCTTCTGTAGTTTATTGGCTGCGGGCCGCTGCGGGCGTGCAGACTTACTTCCGCCTCTGGGTGCCGTATTCTGGTTTGCTGACTTCCGCTGTGTCCGACCCGACCGAAGCTACGCTAAATAGCCATATAGAGAAAGGCTTTTTTGTCGCTGTTGGGTTCAAATAAATATGCGGATCTTCAAGGGGGGGGGGTGATACGAACTAGGGACAGTTTTATAAATGGTAAAAAGTTCCGTACAGCTGCTTTAATTCTCAAAATCTCTCTTCTTTGTATTTTAACGGTGGCCCTAATACTCTGTCATTGTTGACAAACTAGAATTCTGTCTTTTGGCTTGCCTGTCTTGCGCAAATTTGTGGCTGCTTTAGAGTAGCATCTGCAGTGTTTGCTCCAGTCCTCCCCAGGACTCCTCATGCAGCAGCAGCAGCGGCCAGCTCTACTTTCATGTTTTTATTTAGGGAGACAAGTGTGCTAAATGCACAAGTTCACATGTTCTAAATATTGAGGGGGGCGTACCACCTGCATCCCCTTTCGAGGTTTGCACCCATGAGTGTGTCTACAGACATGCTTTTGGCTCTGGGTGGCCTTAATGTTGACTGTAAAGAAAATCAAAGTGTTTGATAGATCAACCAAAGAATTGCACAACAATAAGTTATGGCCTGATGATGACACAAGATAAAGTTGGAGTTATTCCTGATTAGTGCCATTTAGATTCATCTTCATGGGAACATGAACATCTGCACCAACATTTGGTGCCAATCTGTCTTGAGAAGTGACAATTTTGGCCTACTGGTGCTCAAGGAAACATCAAGGAAGGCAAAAGCATGAATGAATGGTTGCATTTAATTTCACCATGGCCAAGGGAACAGGTCAAGCCAAAACAAATGGCACTTTTATAATTCTATGTTTGATATGTGACTTCTTTATCTGTGACGATAAAACTGATTGTGTCCCCCCAGTTGGTCAATTTAATGTAATAGCAGCTATCATGCCTTCATGTAGTCTTTTGTCCATCTCCACAGTGTTTACAGTACAAGACAGACCAGGCCCAGGACGTGAAGAAGATCGAGAAGCTGCACGGAAAACTGATGAGACTCATGGTGTCCAAGGAGACGCACAGTGGTTCCATGGAGACAGACTAAAACACTCTAGAGGCGCTGACCTTCTCGAGCACCTGGACTGAGTTCAGTGGACACAATGGTTGTTGAGAGCACAGTACCATCGCAGTGCAATGTGGAGTCTGAGAGATGGGCAGTTGTGTAGAGGGAGTGTGGTGAGATTGATGTGGCTGCCTACACTGATTTAATACAGTCAGAGATGTGATATATATACTGTATATATTTTATTCTCAGGATTCTGTTTTTATAATACTTTCTTCATCAGAGATCCCGTTATCCTGCTTTTCCTTACCAGGCATTGTGATCACATCCCTGATGGTATTACTATAAAGTAAGGTCAGTGTAGGCTGCTGAGAAATTTTAGGAAATGTAGAGAAGATGAGAGGTAATGTGGGACAAAGTGTCCAAAAAGTACAAATCCTCTGCTGCAGCGGAAGCAGCTTTGGCTCCTTGATTTCTTTAGAAGAGCTTGCATTTATTTTCAGTTTTAAAGATGATGAAAAGAACGGGCAATGAAGACATTGCATGTCTTTTCTATTTACATCTATGTGGCTATGTTGGATTCGGTTTCAGCGTAGCAAGTGTTTTTTTGTTTGTTTTACTTCATGGACTTGTGCCACATGAATGAAGCAGGACCTTCTGATTTCCTAGCAAAAGCATGGAGATAATTTCTACAAAAAACCCTCCCACACCTCCAAATGCCATTTTGTTGTCAGAGAATGATTACGTTACATGTTGAATAAATGTTTATTTACCCCAGTACAGCCAGTATCTCTCCTGTATTCATCTCAGTGTGTGACCAACCATAAATGTCTTCATGAGTTAAGCTCACCAGGATGTAGTCATAACAAAGCCAAGGTGTGTTCTTAGGAAACAGAAGTTAAACTAATCACAATTTAAAAAAGAAAAAAAAAAGATAGGTGCTAGTTCCTTTTAAAAAAAATGGAATTTTTAAAATTCATGGTTGAAAAGAAAAGTGGTCAAATGTTGCTTTACATTTTTACAGGTCTTACAGATGTTTCTCTCTGTGGTGTACTTTGAAGAAATTGCCATAGTGTCAAAATAATGTTTCATTTTGCATGTTTGGTGAATATCTCAAACCTAACAACACCTGTGATCACCATGTTGGCTAGTCCTCATCTGCAGGATACTACATGTCCCATCATGCACCACTGGCAATTAGTCACTTAATAAGACATTGAGAATGAGCACCTTCACATTTTACAATCACATGCTACTGCTAGTAGCTATGGAAGCCCATTTCCACCACTTGATGGAAAAAAATAAGATCTAATAACTCAAAATAATGAGATACTAAGTCGAAATAATGAGATACTATCTCAAAAATAATGAGATACTAAGTCAAAATAATGACTTACTAACTCAAAATAATGAGACACTATGTCAAAATAATGAGATACTATCAAAATAATGAGATACTAAATCGAAATAATGAGATACTGTCTCAAAAATAATGAGAAGTCAAAATAATGACTTACTAACTCAAAATAATGACTTGCTAACTCAAAATAATGAGACACTAAGTCAAAATAATGAGATACTAAGTCAAAATAATGACTTACTAACTCAAAATAATGAGATACTAAGTCAAAATAATGACTTACTAACTCAAAATAATGAGACACTAAGTCAAAATAATGACTTACTAACTCAAAATAATGAGATACTAACTCAAAATAATGAGATACTAAGTCAAACTAATGAGATACTATATCTCAAAACAATGATACTAAGTCGAAATAATGAGGTGAATGAGTACAGTTACAGCCTTCGACAATCCATGCTCTTCATCTCTCAGTCACGATAGATAACATCATTGAGGGATACTAATTCAAAACAATGACTCATGTACATCGGATATGCCACATACTACACTTTGATGTGACGTATGGGGTATGTTTGGCTACTTAAGTAGTCTACAAATTACAAAATGTAGTAAAATAGTGTTGATTTTAAGTGTTCTGTTTGGTTTTGAGTTAGTATCCCTCAATGATGTTATCCATTGTGACTGAGAGATGAAGAGTATGGATTGTTGAAGGCTGTAACTGTACTCATTCACCTCATTATTGGACTTGGTATCTCTTTTTTTTACAGAAGCGTTGGTCGCACATGATGTATCCAAGGACTGTCAGAAAGTTGAAAATCCAATTCCTATTTCTGTTTTTACAGTTTCTATGATAAATGGTGCAATTTTGGCAATTGTTTTAAAAAGAGAACCTGCTACATTTGGAGGGCATGTTCTCTTTAAAAATCTGCAGTGAAACAGGAGAAAAACTACGATTTAAATTTGTATGCCCCTCCCCTAAACCAAAATACAAAACATAAATCCCTTCCTATTGCTTTATAAAAATTACTAGACAAACCTCCTCTTTTTGCACCACCCCGTCCCCTCACAAGTAGCGAACAGTCCCTAACACCCCGCCTCTTTCACATGAACGCGCTCGTGGCTGGAGAACACAAACCAAGAGTTGACTGAACTACTGGATGACAACCTAGTGATTTGACAGCCAGTGTCAGGGTTAGTGAAGCCAGATAAAGACAAGATATCCTCCTGGGTAAGTGAAAGTTAGCTTCGCAGTACAAACCTCAGGTAAAACTTTCTGTCCTCTGTGAGTTTTGGTGACTGTCGCATGCTTTTCGACTGTATCATTGCTAAAAAGGTAAAGTTGCAAGCTGTGGCGTTATGTTAGCGCTAATGTAGCTTTATATAGCCTAATAATGCAGCTTTAAGTAACGGTAACATGGCGCAGTTAACTTCAATATAAAAAGTGCGTCGTGAAAATGGACCCTCTTACTTGATAGTTTGTTAGCAGTTAGTTACGCTAGCTAGCTACTTATAAAGTAAACATCTGTGATACAACATTACCCTGTGTCTTTTTTTTTTGCTATGCTAGTCAGGCTGTAGCACACAGACATGTTACACAGATTATAGACAGTTTATGACACAGTGTTGGTCTGTGGCTGGTGATATAACCTCTCAATATGAGTGTCCAGACCTGTCCTCTGTTGGACGGCTGTCTGGGCTGTGGTATCTCTGGATTCAAGTCCTCAGCCACTGGTAACATGTAGCAACACAAGTGTTACAACAGAGCATAGTGGTATAACGGTTGGTGTGTACACATGGCTTGTAGCTCTGCTGAATGAGAAAGGCTTTGTCATGCAGGGCTCAGCGGCTGTGACTGAGGGGCCTGGTCAGCCCTGTTCTTTACCTAATCCTGTCAGCCCACCACAACAACACTGACACTTTTGTTTGGCTGCCTTTTCTCTAAACTCATGACTGATGAAAATATTTTGCTCCAGAATCACACCACACCACTGCCAGAGAAAGTCACTCACAGGCATCTTGGGGTTCAGTTAGTTTTATTAAGATTCTTCAAGATTCTAAGATTACCATGCTTAATATGGACTGATAAGGGACTTTGCTTTATTTATCAGAGGAGGGGTGTGGTTGGGGTGTGACTTGATTTATTTTTGTTTGCTGTTTTTTTTTAATCTTGACCTTCCCCAAAGCTACAAATATTTGTCCCTGAGCCTCGCAGAGAGACTGAGGGACAATGCATGACCCTTTATGAAATTTCAAACTTGATGTTTAAAAGTAAAACGCTGAAAATGGGAGAAAATCTTTTTCTCATGATTGTCATGCAGGCAGGAGTGCAGAATTGAATGTGTTTTACAGGATCTGGTTAGTGAAAACAGTTTCTTTTGGGGGAAACTTTAAATGAGACATGTAGAATAAGTGGTTTTGAAGCCTTCGTTGCAAATGATAAGTTCAAGGACCAAATCTGTGGATTTTTTTTTTTTTTTTTCAGTTTCTGGCTATATTAAATAGTGTCATTTTGGCTACTTCAAAAGACAACATGCCTTTCGAAGCTGCCAGCAGCATTTGGGGTTCAGAGGGTATTTAAAATAAATACAAAATACAACTGTTAAAAGTCCTTTCCCTCAGTCAAAATAGAAAACAGAAGTCCCCTCAACGGCTGCAGAATTAATGGGATATTAATCACAATCACGATTTTGGCTTCTTAAAATTAAATGAACATGATCGTCTGCGATACTGACACTTACAATGCATGCTCAGCTCATAGAAAATGAGCAGCAGCCTGTGATAAACTCTCCTAATGTTTGATTGAAGATGGGCAAAAGCAAAATTATCCATCATCAACCATCATCATCTGTTGTTTGGACATAGGAGAGAACAAATCATATGCAAAGAGTGCATGAGATGTGGCTGCGCCCAAAAAACATGACTAACTTGTTAAACCATCTGAAAAAAAACACCACAATCTGCAGTAAGATGAATGAGTGAAGGCCAAGAAGAATAACATTGCTAATGTTACTGTTAATCCCAGTCTTTGTCTAGCATCAACTCAGACAGATAACAGAGTGAAAAAGTATGTGGCAGATATGTGTCCACTGAAGATGCATTGAATTCAGGTGTAGACCTTATTTTACCTTATTATACGTCTTATGTTGATGCAAAGATTTGTTAATTAGAAGGAATGTAGCACACGGTAAAAGTGAAAGGGTAAAAATGTTTTGGTACAATTCTAAAATTTTATATTAATTTAATTTCTATTTATACACTTATTTTGACCTATTTTATTTTCTGTCTATTTGAATAGCACTGTGTTGTTGTGGTTGAGGGGAAATGTGGTTGTTGTTTTTTGTCTTTTATGAGCTGCTGGACAGTTGAATTTCCCTTTGGGGATGAATAAAGTTCTTTCTATTTCTATTTTCTATATTTTGTTTCAAGGAGATGCACTGTGATTAAGGACCAGTCTTATTTCGATGCAAAGATAGGTACATTAGCAGGAATGTAACATGGAAGTGAAAGCAGTGTTCTCTTTATTTAAATGTGAAAGTGTGATAAAAATACTTTGTCCCTACAAACAATGAATAATTATGATAAAAAATTGTGATCTCAATATTGTTCAAATTAATTGTGATTATCAAATTCTGTTATACACCACTCCATTCCCCCTTATACATAAGGAACAGTCCCTAAGTCAACTACTTTTTTTAATCCAAATTAAGAATACTTTAATGGTGTAGTTTTGTTGTTCGGCCATGCAAAATATCTGTTGACAAATATTTTTCATCGTAATGACCTGATGATCTCTTCCTCATATCCTCTTTCCCCTGCCCACTTCTGTACCCCTGTCCTGGCACAGACACTGAGCACCATGTTCACAGAGGTGCTGGTCGCTCTGGTGATTGGAGGACTGATCTTCTTCCTGGTTCAGAGGAGCAGGACCCAGGTTCTTAAGACAGAGGATGGCTGGTGGGGAGCTGGAGCACCCCCTGAAGGCGGGGAGGACGTCACCATTCGCCCCTTTAAAGTCTCCACCAGTGATGAAGAGCTGGAGGTTAGATTCCCTCTTGTCCCTCAAGATAGTCACTCCATAGCGTTTACTCATGCCTCCACATATCCTCTCTCCTCTCTTTTCATCAGGACCTGTACATGAGGATAGACCAGACTCGCCCTGTTCCTTCACTAGAGGACAGCCAGTTTCATTATGGCTTCAACTCCCAGTACCTGCAGAAGGTGGTCTCTTACTGGAGAAATGACTTTGACTGGAGGAGACAAGTTGACAAACTCAACCAGTACACCCACTTCAAAACCAACATTGAAGGTGAGTTTGCACTGCTGACACTTTCATAAAGAGGAATGTCCTACCTTTAACCAATTCTTACTTTCTGAACCTCCATCCAGGCATTGATGTCCATTACCTGCATGTGAAGCCCAAGAACGTGCCGGAGGGAGCTACTGCTATTCCTCTGATAATGGTTCACGGCTGGCCTGGCTCCTTCTATGAGTTCTACAGATTAATCCCTCTGCTAACAGAACCATCAAACCCACATGACCTTGTGTTTGAGGTGGTGTGTCCCTCCATACCAGGGTACGGGTTTTCAGAGGCCCCGCATAAGAAAGGCGAGTGTTGAAATCTTTTCTTGCAGACATGGGAGAATATTAATGCTAAGATTTGAGACAAAGCCCCCATGATGTCATCCATTTGTTTGTGTAGTCCCATTTTGAAGCCTCCAGTTTGTAGTTTTGGCAGTTGCCATCTTGGATTTTTGGAGACAGAAGTGAGCATATTTGGACAAGAGAGTGTAGCTGAGCAGTTAGTAAATGAGACGCCTAGCAGACAGCCTGTCACTTAAAGCACCATGCCATTAATTTTGCATAACTTTAAGCCTTATAAAATTTAAATGGGTGAGTTATATAAAAATTCACTTTGTACGGTTTTCATGAACGGGGAAATTAGCTATAGAGACTAATGCATTTTTTTTTTTGTACCGGGCTGTAAACATGTTGATTTATGCCAGACAGTTGGGCATTTTAACATGGAGATCCATGGGGAGTGATCTGTTATTGAAACCAGCATTAAGTGGTCATTTGAGGATCTGCAGTTTTTGGCACTTCCATGTTGGCTTCATTTTTCAGCCCTGATGGTTGCCACTTTGTATTGATGTGGAAATATTTAACTCATCTTTTTTTTTTTTTTTTATGTAAAAACTGCTTGGGTTCAAACTGCAATTTCTACATGTGTTTGTGTGTGCGAACAGGTTTTGATTCAGTTTGTGCGGCACACATCTTCCACAAACTGATGAAGCGTCTGGGCTTCCAGCAGTTCTACGCTCATGGAGGAGACTGGGGCTGGCTGGTCACCACCAACATGGCTCAGCTGGAGCCCAAGTAAGACACACACAAGAAATTCCTTAATGCGTGACACACACACAGTTTTTTTGTAAATGTTTAAAGTAGGGTTGTCAATCAATTAAAATATTTAATTGCGATTAATTGCATGATTGTCCATAGATAACTTGTGATTAATCACAAATTAATCGCACATTTTTTATCTGTTCTAAATGTTCCTCAAGTTTTTATACTCTTATTACATGGGAGTGGACAAATATGCTTGCTTTATGCAAATGTATTTTATTATTATTTCAACAAAACAAAATGAAAATGAAAATCCAAAACAATGAAAATATTGTCAACAATATTCTCCAGAATAACCGGAAAGGTACTGCATGCGCAAAACATATGCTGAACCCCTTTCTTTATCTACTTCTGCTCACAGTTCTGGTCTGCCAATCGCCATAGGTACCGCCAAAGAGAATGAAACATCTAGATCTGTAATAAGGTATTAAAACATTACTACACAGCCTTTTGTTTTTCTGTTGTTTTGTTTTTTCCTTCCTCAGGACAGTCAAGGGCCTGCACGTGAACTTCGCCCCGCCCTCCAAGCCGGGGCTGACCATGGTTTTATCCATCATGCTCGGCCGTCGCTTCCCTAAGCTGTTCGGCTTCACTGACATGGATATTCAGCATCTCTACCCCGCCATGGAGAGACAGGTGGTGGAGCCCATCAAGGAGTCTGGCTACATGCACATCCAGGCCACCAAGCCTGACACCGTGGGTAAGGACCATAAACTGTATAACAACAATGGATGTAGCAATCGTGAGAACACCAGCTGGTTTGTGGACTCCTGTTTTGAAGCTGTGGGTTTGGCATTTTGATTGTTGCCATCTTGAATTTTTGCAGCCAGAAGTCATAAGAGGTGACCGTATTTGGACATGAGGGTGGAGCTAACCCATATCCTAGTTGCTAGCTTGGTTAGCCAGAAGCATTTATGGTTAACTATGATAATGCTAATGCTAATGTTTGCTAGCAAAAACAGGCTTAAAATCATTAAAACAAAATGTACTTACTGGAAAAACTGAAAATCTGACGATTTACAGGGTCTTTTAGTTCAACCAAATGCTGAACAAAACCTTTTAGGCACCAAAATGTTATCTTTCATGAACTGTAAACACACTGAAATGGAGACAGCTAAGGTTACGTCCATACTCTACTAATCTGGGGTTACGCCATGGTTACATTACCTAATCAACTTTGTCACTGTGATAGTTGATTGTGGATTGAAGTGGACTGACTTGTTTTTAGAGCCAGCCTCTAGTGGCCATCAGAGGACCTGCAGTTTTTGTCACTTCTGCATTGGCTTCATATTTTGCAGCTCCACAGGTTGGCAAGGACCTGGCAACATGCAGGCTGCACATTACAACATGAGACTCCAGACTGGCCAGAGTTGAAACAGAGTCATGGAAGCTTAAATTGTGTTATTATTATAGTTGTTTATACTCAACAAATCTATTATCGAAAACATTTCTGACTAATTTCCCCTCAGGTCGAGGACTGAATGACTCCCCAGTGGGTCTGGCTGCCTACATTTTGGAGAAGTTCTCCACGTGGACGAGCCGCGACTTCAGGAACCTGGAGGATGGAGGACTCACCAGGTAGATACATAGTGTCAGTGCTGATATTAGCCATCACCACATACTTTTTCATTATCCTCCAGTATGAAGATGTATGAAGTTCTAAATATCATCATTAGTTGTAGCATATAGTCCCCAAGCCCTGTTGTTAAATGGGACTGTCAGATTGCCACGGCACCAATCCAATATGTTCAGTTACAGAATATACATATGAACGATGGGTACCACTCAGTTGCCTCATTACTGTCATATGAAATCTTGTGTGTGGTGCCTTGCAGGAAGTTCTCGCTGGATGACCTGCTGACTAATGTGATGATCTATTGGACGTCTGGCTGCATCATCTCCTCCATGAGGTTCTACAAGGAAAACTTTGGCAAAGGCCTCAACCAGCCTCACGCTAAGTGAGTGACAGCCACAGAGTCTAATGTGACCAGTTGGTTTCACTGAGCGATACAAAACACAAATGGTGAACCAGTGTTATGGTGTGCGAACTCATTTGAATATTCAAATAATGCAGTTATATTTTAACCACATATGTATCTATCATCTGCAAGCACTATCCGCACTTTCCCCGAGCTGTTGTCACTTGCCTGCAGTATCATTTTTGTTACAGTGTAGCCTGGTTGCTTGCTGAGTAACCAAGCTACACTGTAAGAAAAATTATATCACTAGCAATTGACAGCGTAGCTAGAGAAAAGTGAGCATGATAAGCCACAAATAAAAACATGCAAGCCAGCTTAAGTTACATTGTTAACTTACCATAGATTGTTGGTGTAGTCGGCTTTGGATATAGATAAACTGCGGTGGATTGGGCAGCAGCAACTACGGGTATTTCTCCAAAGAAACGAGAAATAGGCTCTTTTTTTGCCGGCATTTTTTGTGCATGCATCTAACGACAGTGTTGCATTCTTCTGATCGTTCTCGTCCTGGTGGATGATGGTGGTGCCTTACCGGTGCAGCAGTACTGAAACTGTAATGCAGTCACAGATGTATGTATAGAGAATTTAATGTCTTCAAACATGGTTTATCATAACCAATTACTGGAACTATCTGTTTTATAAACCTGAATTCGAGACTCTAATACTGAATATCATTAATATTTCCAGTGGAGACATCACACTGAGGTCCAGTTTAGAATAGCTTGTTGAAATTGTTTTTTTTTATCATGTCCAAAAGTTGGCACTAGCTTCATACGTAAGCATCTAGCAAGGGTGGACTGGCAATCTGGCATGCTGGGCAATTGGGCGGACGTGCTTTTTGGGCCGACACAGCTGTCTTTTTTTTTTTTGTCTGACCAGTCATTAACAGTCTGTCTCCCCTCCAGTGTTAAAAGAAAGCTGAACCTTTGCATCATATCTATATAAACATGACGTGTGGTGGGCCAGACTGAAATGACAGGGCCCACTTTCTATCCCAGTCCACCCCTGGCATCTAGTGTTAAAATCATCCCCTTGTGATATTCTAACACATCTTTGTCTCTTCACAGGATACCTGTGTATGTCCCCACTGGGTTTGCCTGCTTCCCCGATGAGCTGATGCACACTCCCCAACTATGGGTCAAACAGAAATACCGTAAACTTGTGACCTTCACACCCATGCCCCGTGGTGGCCATTTTGCTGCCATGGAGGAGCCCCAGCTGATGGCCGAGGACATCCAGAACTTCACTAAGACAGTGGAGAAGAAGATTAAATAGAAGGGGGGGGAGGGGGGGCAGACTTATGAACAGGTTAATGACGTAAAAGTGCTGAATGAAGGTATTGATAAGCAGTAAGTAGACTGCTTTGAAAGTTGAACAGTAAAAGAAGCAAAACAGAAAGAGCAAAAAGTGAATTGATGGGATTTGTTGACTTGTGTGTTTTAGTGAGAACAGCTGGGTTGTACAGCAATCAAAGAAGGTGGTTGTATGTGAAAATAAGCAGAGAAATTGAGCAGTTGTAAAATACCCAGCTAATAATGAAGCTACTTCCTGTATAGTTCTTTCTCTTTTTAACTCTTAAGCAATACACGTTTTTTTACATAAAGGACACATGTTTATAGCCTGTCAGCCAGGAGCCAGAAATCAGTACCATACATTGACAGACCTCCTGCTTTCCTCACAACTTCCTCTAGCCTTTAACAGTTTACTACACAGCTGCAGATGGGAGGTCAGGGGGCGCTTGTTGTTATTGTGTTGACAGCCTGGACAAGGTGCCAGACATTCCTCCAACTGATAACACGAAGCCTCAAACACGAAGCTGTATTATCGCCTTAAACCTCTGAGTTGTTTGATTTTATTGTAATTTTTCCTTTCAAATGTATTCACAACTCATGTTAGCAGTTTAAAATCTTTGTTGAAGTCAGATGTCTTTAAAGCAGGGGTTCATACCAAGGCCCCCTGGATATATTTTTGTACTTTATTGCATAATTCATAAATACTACTACAACTACTAATAATAGTAGCATGAAACAACAGCAATAGTAATAATAATGTCACTAAAATAAATTGCAGCTGAGCTTCTGTTAGCTTAGCTGGTGGTCTTTTCCTTTTCTAAAATGTGTGTTGTGAGTTAGCACCAGGTAGCTAGATGCTAGCAAGCAAGCTAGCCAGCTAAATGTCAGGAGCAGAGCAGCTTTGCAGCAGGCACGGACAGTTAACAGTCAACATTGACAGCTTATGAAGTGATGATAGATGTTTAACTGGCAGCCAAATACAGTGGAAAGATGGGTATGACAAGTAGGATTTTAATATGATACAAGTTTGCTATGCATTAATTAAACATTCTCACTGATTGACCTTGATATGCTAGTTTTAAGCACTACAATTTATGACTACAGAGACTAGAAGCAGTGGTTTTACAGAGTTGTTGACCAAGAAGCAGTGAAGAAAATGTGGCTGTGGGACACATTCGCAACAAGAGAGAGTATCATTTCATAACTCAGACAGCCTACTTTCAACCGGTCAGATAGGAATATTCAGGTGGATCATGGTGATGATGACAAGGAGGATGTAATAGAGGGTAAAGACGGCACACAGACAGAGAGAGGGACAATGTAGAGACAGAGAGGGTGGACAGCTCAGCCCCTTCGGCCGTGGTGCGACAGACAGGGAGGTAACTCCAGAGAAGCAAAGGACAAAAAATGTCTTTCCACTTTGTTTCGTATTGTGAATAGTTGCTACAAATAGAAGAATAAAACGCGTCAGACTCAGGTGAGCAAAGGCCTCAACAATTCTGAAAATCAGGAGTTAAACTGTGATAGGTGCTCTTCGTGTTGATCTTGAAAAGACTGAATAAATCTGTAATGCTGAGACAAGTTTTTTCTGAATAAAATGATGAAAAATATTGAGTTATATTTAGAACAATGAAAAGGTGTTTTCATGATATGGGCATCAGAATGTATATCACAATAAAATGCCAGTCAGATCATTTCCTTTTAAAGCTATGCAGTTTAAATGAATTGCAGTGTATGCTACCATTCCAGGGTGACCTGTTGTATCTCAGATTGTGACAGTGTTCTATCTTTAACCAAATAAAATTGACTCTTGAGTAGTTCATTGTCCTAGCTGTTAATCTGTTATTATCAGTTAGTCTCTGAGGCATCCACACAGCTCCACTGGCAAAGCCACATCTCATGTGTTGTGTGTGTGCTTTATTCACAATTCAGTTATTCTTTGTTTCTACTCAATTCCTGGACTTCATTCTATGAAAGAGGTTAAAAAAGTCAGTCCTATTGTCAAAAGCCTGATGTTAGTTAGCCTGAAAAGCTGATTATGGTTTAAGCCATTCCTCAGAGCGATGGTGGAGCTAACATACCAACCTGGTTTTAACAATCAACACAGCAGCACATTTAAACCTTAAAGAGACAGCTGTGATTTTCACATACACAGTACAATACAAAGTGGTTGTTAACACTTGGAATGGTAGTTCAGGTGTAACTACAGCCCTCTCTATTTCTATGAAGTGCTGCTGTTTTATATAGAAACAATGGTGGTAATGGTAGACTGTCAAACTGACTTGTGGCTGCAGTAAAATGAGACGCAGGATTGCTGTTGCTTTGAAGAAAAATTTCAAGTTAGCACTTTGGTTGATATTTGGTGCCTGTAAATTGGAACTTGAGATCAAAGCCTGAATTAACATCTCTCAAAGCAAGTTAGTTTTAGGGCATCAGTTGTCATGGTAACATTTGTTAAACTTGATTCCTTGAGTAGGGACAGGTGATCTTGTTGGCTCTGAAAATATAGGATGCGCGACGGCACTCCTTGACGTGCCGCCCCGCAGCACTTCATGCCACTGTCCTATTTCCAGCCTTGCCACCTCCAGAATTAAATGCACTTGTCCCCAACCCACTCTCTGCTTTTATATACCGGATCCCGTAGCAGCTCTGTTTCTCTGCTCCTATGGCAGCTGGACTCCTCTCCTTATCGTTGATGCAAAGAGAGCTCTGTTGCTGTCTCGTGCGTGACAAACAATTGATGAGGAGAGACTCATTGTTGAGGTTGAGAAATGTCCTGAGCTAAACAATCCACAATCCTGTCATTATAAAGACAATGGCCAAAAAACGTACTTACTTACTAACGAAATGCAATGTGAAGTACGTAGTTACAATAACTTTTGGTTTCAGCGGTGACACAAACAGCGGTCTCCTGGGTGAAAGTCCTGTGTTTAAAGTAACCACTCACCCTAACTCCCTCCCTATGTTTTATACTACATTAGTTGCTCTGATAATGACACTGCCCTGTGTGTCTAATACAGATGCTAAAGGGTGTGGTGGCATTCGACATCAAGGGCCACTGACTAAGTGATTGTATTAGACGAGTTGGGAGTCAGAACAGGTTGCATGAGTAAAATTATGGTCACAAAATGGGATTTATGAAATTAAAAATTGCAGCTCAAGTGAATGTGACTTCTTCCTGTTCTTTCCATGCTGTCATAATGAGGTTGTTATGATGCTGGGATGCCCTGAATGTCTTCAACAAACCAAAAGGCTCTTCCGCCTCTCTTTGGTAAGGTTCAATGTCGCACTGCCCCGAGCTTCCAATCCCACCCCTGTCCAGTTGTTAGCAGAGCTTTGAGTTTCCCAAGCCCCCCAGTGCCCTGGCTCAGGACACCCTCCCAGTGCTGCACTCCCCCAGGCCTGACTGCCTGCCTGCCTGCTCTTCTTGGCAGCCAAACAGCCAGGGAGGATCAGGACGACCGGGCGGCTGAGATAAGGACCGCATGAAGTTCCCCACATTACCTCACCCGATAAGGAAACAAGCAGAGACAGACGGAGAGGCAGAGAGAGAGAGAAGGTCAGACTGGGAGGAATTCTGTGGATGGACGGTGATGCACTGAGAAGCAGTCGGGGATTGTGGGTTTTTTGGGGGGTCTGGGTGGACCCACAGAGGCCTGGTGAACTCTGGAGAAGAGCTTGGAGATGCTTGTTGGTCCTCTGCAGCTACAGAAAAGAATGTGTATGAGATCAGATGAGTGATTTCAGCTGTTCTCGAGCCAGTATTTATATCTACACTAGACTTTTATAAAGCTTTCAGATTAGATGGAAAGATGACCTCAGACTGTGTTCTGTAGTGTATTTACCAAAACACTTAGTGAATGATACTTCACAACAATCTCCAACACGGGAGAGCAAACCTCCATCCAGCCAATGAAAACAGACTGAACGAAAGTGAATTTAGTTCTCAAGTCTTCAGGAGAGTTTGCTGCATCGCTTAGGCAGCACCCATGGCGGTGAATCCTCTGGAAGGGCTCATGTCGGTTGCAGCGAACCACCAGCTGGTCTCATGCTCTACAGCTGAGCCACAGAGGCAGCAGCCCTGCGCAGCCGGCAGTCCAGCATCCCTGCACGGACATAGGCAGAGCACACGCAACAGCCAGGAGCCCAGGAAGTGGGTGAGTCTGAAACCCAGGTTTCCAAGATCTGGCAATTAATGATTGTGAGCAACCAGTGGGATATTGCACAACCTAATTTAGACATACCAGGATTTAACAGGCAAAATGGCATAGAAACAACCTGCTTAAAATTAGTTTTCTAAATGAAATTAGTCAAATGTAATCTCTAACAAAAAAGCTGTGGGACATAATGCTTCTGTATCAAAGAACAACTTGCAAAGTATTTGTGAGATCATGCAGTACTTCCCAACAAATTGACACACAGATTGTTAGACAATGCTACTAACTTAAGAGTGTGATATGGAACATTAAGAGAACTCAGCTATGTTCACTTAACTTGAACTAATAAAGCATGATAGAGAAGACCTGTGCAGGACGTACTATGTCTTTTGGTACAAGTCTGCACATTTCAAGCACAGTTCATACGTTTACAAGAAGTCCTGAGGAGCGCTGACTGGGTTAAAATGCACTAATCTTTATCCATTTGTGTTCCTTTCTTAACCATGCAATAGAGAAACATGGATATTCTCTGGTAATGTCACACAGCTTACATTTTTTCTGAGCACTGACGCAGCTAATAACAAGGAGCACAAGTTTCTTCTCTTAGTACAATAAAACTCAGTAAGTATCAGTTTGTTTGTTTGTTTGTTTGTGTGTGTAGTACTTGTAAATGATAAGTTCTGTCCTAAGACTCAAATGAAAGTTGCTAAACTAACATGTCTGCATCATGTGGCGCACTAAATTATTTAGTTAAAATTAACTCAACATTGATCTTTGTTTTTACAAGGGACACAAACAGCAGTCTCCTGGGTGAAAGTCCTGTGTTCACCCCACGCCTCCATCTCAACCACCACCCTCCATGGACTTTTTCTTGCTTTTCATACAATGTCAGTTGCTCTGAGCGTCTCTTAAGGTTGCAGCCTGTCTCATAAATATGCTCAAGGGTGCGTTGGTTCAGACGCCAAGGGCAACTGACCAAACATTGGTATTTGAAGAGTTGGGATCGAGAACAGGGTTGCTAGAGTTATACTACATCTGCCCAGAATGCTTGTGGCATGTTGTGTTATGCTGAAGTTAGTCACATAATGAGGTTCATGACATGTCACACAGCATAGATTTTTTTCTTAACAAGTTAGCAATTTTTATTATAGAAAATTACTGATTTTCACATTGCACCATGTGGCAATATGTATGCATATAATACATGCTACAAAAAGACGCTGAATTTTAGAATTAACCAACTAACAGAATTTGAAATTTTATTTGATCAAAGTAAGTAAAAGGATATTTGTCAAACAGTGTAAAATCAATTGTTCATTTAAAGCTGCACTTGTTAACTACTACAAAAAATGTTTTTTTGTGGTAGTTTCTGGAACTGTCACTATATTCTGAAAGTATTTTAAGAGAGATAGTCTGTGAAAACAATCACGACCCTCCTCCACCTCTGCACCATGAAAACAACCAATCAGGGCCGAAAAGCTCTTTAACGCAGCTGTCACTCATATCAATCACACTTGTGAACTGAGGTCAAACTGTCAAACTAGGCAGCCCTGATCAAATATGAATCAAGATTCTGTTACTGCATTGCCTATTTCTGATCTCCTATGTTTTCAGAAACATATTTCAGTGTACTGTTTAGCTGTAAAATGAGAAGGTTTGTGACCTGGCCACCCTGTTGTAGTCGGGTGGCACACTGCCCACCACCTACTGCTCACCGGCCAGAGTAACTTTCTCATTTTACAGCTAAACAGTACACTAAAATATTTTTCTGAAAACATCTAAGATCAGAAATAGGCAATGCAGTAACAGAATTTGGATTCATATTTAATCAGCTCTGTCTATTTGATGGTTAGATTGTAGTTCATAAGTTGTGATTGACATGACTGACAACTGCAGAAGAGAGTCCTCAGCCCTCAGTGGTTTTAATTCACATGCAATTATGCATTATGAGTGCCACAAGGAGGCAGAAAATTAGAAAATTACATATTTTTGCACACATTACATCTCATGCACTACTATGTAGACATTTTTTAGCAAGTATGATTTTTTTAGACTCACCAACTACAGCTTTAATGAATTTTCTGTTATCACTTTTTTTGCAATGTCTTAATGTTTCAATATTTTTTAACTTCCCCATTTGGACAAAACAATCCAAATCAGCTGATCCTATTTAGTTCGATTTGATTTTACTGTCAGGCTCTACACATGTCTTCTGCTGCAGGTGCAGTCTGTGTGTGGGTCCAAGTCAAACTCTGGTTCTGGCTGTGGGTCTGCAATCCAGTCCAGGACAATAAGGGGTCAGCACTCCCCAGAAAATGCAGCTCGAGAGAGGAGCCGTGTACGCAACCTGCGACAGGCCTTCCACAGCCTGCAGGTACTCATGACACTCACAGACATTCACTTTTCCAAATGTTGTCTTGTGCTTTTATTAAGTCTGAAACATTTGTGTTTTCCCACCTGCTTCTTGCTTGGGTGTTGAATTCAGTTTGATTAATTTATTTTGAACATCTCTAGTGTTTGTGCATGTATACAAGACAGCCCTAACTCTAGAAAAAAAAATAGCTTGAGTTATAGTCAACTTTTTTGTTTCAGAACACTGACATGTGTCCCAACAGAAACATTTTGTCTCTTAACACAGCGACCTAAATCCCCAACAACAGGTAGCATTACAATATGGATCATGATTGTCTTTTATTTATTTATTAAGCAAAGACAAAGACTCCATTACAACTGAAAGAAAGGCTCTTTTTGTGCCTTCATGCCGGTGGCAGCCGTGGCCAGTGGTTTGTCCGTCTGTCCGTCCGTCTTATCCTTGGGAATGCAATATCTCAAGAATGCCTCAAGAGAGTTTCTTAAAATTTGTTTAAAATGTCCACTTGGACTTAACGATGAACTGATTAGATTTTGGTAGTCATTGGTCAAAGGTCAGGGACGCTGTGACCTTTTTGTCTCATTCTTGTGCATGCAATATCACAAGAACGCCTTGAGGGAATTTCTTCAAATTTGGCACACACATTTACTTGGACTTGAGGATGAACAGATTACATTTTGGTGGTCAAGGGTCAGAGGTCAAGGTTGCTGTGACATTGTCTATCTTGTCTAATCTTTGGGGGGAGTTTTTCCTTATCCACTGTGAGGGTCCTAAGGACAGAGGGATGTCGTATGCTGTAAAGCCCTCTGAGGCAAATTGTCATTTGTGATATTGGGCTTTATAAATAAAATTGAATTGAAATAAAATTGAATTCTCATAAAACACTTTTCTGGCCATTATTCAACATTATATCTCAGGAACAGAAGGGGAGACATTTAGTCAGATACTGAGTTGATGACACTAATCCTGGGTGTCCACCTTGAAACTGTGCTGATTGCATAGATTTTCTCTGCTGCTGGGGGGAAGATGAGTGTGCAGCATCCAAGTTTTCACAGACATGGATGTGAACCGTAAGAGAAACTTGGCTGATGCACGGATGCATACAACTGCGGGGTGGTAATTCTAGTTATTGCATAGACTGTGTTACCTCACTTCAATTAATCAGAAATGTTGCAGCATGCTTCAACAGACTTTGTTTGCCAGTTTTGCAGTGTATAAAACAGCTACAGATATAAATATACAACAGTGTATACCTGATCCATCCCTGGCAATCTTCTTCAGATGTTTACAGACATCCAGCATTCATTGTGTCCATCTCATCATGTCCCTGCTGGTCCACCTCCATAAGGAGAAGAGATCCTCAGTGGGGTTTGAAAAACATTTTTCTCAATTGCTTAGAAATAATTCCTGGAGCAACTCTTCTCACACACACAACTTGAAAAACTCACACCCAAGGGTACAAACATCCAACTTCTGGGTTCAGTTCAAACGTTGTCCTCATACAACACACACAAGCTGTCAAAAACAAAGACTACATGTGTTTGCTTCACACCAAAGGGATTAGGCTAATTCAAAACACTGCTACCAAAATGTTTAGTAGAAGTTTTTTCAGAGAGATTATTTAAAACTTTGTAAAATTACAGCACTGACTATCCAGTTAATTGTTTTAGGGACACCCTGACCAGATAAATTCAAAAACAGCCCTGTAATAAATACCTCTTACATTCGTGGATAAGTGAATGCCAATGTATATGCTGTTTTGGTGAAAAACCTTGGTAATGTCACACTAATAAAATGTGTAATGAGAAGTCCATGCACAGTAAAATGCAGTTTCCAAAAGCTTGATTTCCAAATGCTGCAAATGTACAGGTTAATCAGCAGCAGCATGCCCATCACCTCATCTCAGGTCTGGGTCAGGCCATAATGTCTCATCAACACCCCACATTATCTTGCACTAGCTATCCAGCGCACAAATTTCATCTGAGATTACTTGTTGTTGTCTTCCTCTCTGTTATCTTGCAATTTCAGCATTGTTAGGATCCATTACTCCATAACACATGCACACACACATGCCCCAAGGCCCTATTTATTGACCCGAACAATTCTGATTGGTGTGTTAGCAATTTTTGTGGCTTAGTGTTTGCACCTGGAAAAAGGTGTGGTATTTAAGTTTAGGTTGTGATGACTTGAGTTAATTATGTTGAGAGCATGTGCTTGCTGAATAAACACACAGTGCAATGGATGGCTATTTGGCCACTTTTGTGTAAGGTTTTGCTGGGAGAGTTTTTAAATTTTGAAACATGTGGAAACAGTTTACGGTTATGGAAAGTGTGTGTGTGTGTGTGTGTGTGTGTGTGTGTGCTTTTAGGAAATGACGTAAGGGTGTGGGTTTTTTGTGATTAAGCAATTGAGAAAAACTTTTAGGTGGAATAAAAAGTGACACCATCTGCAAAGAAAAATGAGTCACAGTTTAGCCCACTCAACCTCTGTTGTGCTGACTTGTGAAAGAGTGAACTCAGTATCGAGAACATCTGTAAAAAACAATGATCTCCACATTGGTTAATGAGCAGATTCATTTTCTTAAAGACTCATATTTTCTGTGATGCTCAAACCTGTGAGGGAATATTGGTCTAATTACTGTATCACACATCTGGGTAATGGACATACTGCACACATTGTTGTTGCGCTTATTAAAGAGACAAACTAAAGTCTCTTTTAAACTAGGCCATCAAGCCATCCTACATATTAAAACCAATCATTTTCAGTTCACTTAGCTTTAGAGGGAATCAAAAACTTTAATGTGGTCAGAGGTCTCACTCACAGATTTGACAGTCCTTACAAGCATTTGTGTGTAATGTCTGTGCATAATGCTTTTGAATTTAACATCAATGAATGCAGTTCAGTTTAGAGCTTATTCCTCCTCGTCTGTCCTCAGGCTGCTCTGCCCTCAGTCCCACCAGACACCAAGCTGTCCAAGCTGGATGTTCTGGTCCTGGCTACGAACTACATAGCTTACCTAACAGAGACGCTGGACCAGGGAGGGACGCTTGCTGAGCACACCCTACCGTCCAGGCCAGGTGGATACCTGCATCCTGTCAAGGTAAGGATAAGAACCAACAACGTACTGCTTATCATGTTGAATACGATACACCGACTGTTATTCATATACAGGACATGACCTGGCCTGCTGGATATATAGATGATAATCATCCTATGAGACAGTAAGGGGAGACAGGCTTAGGGTCCTTTCTCACTTTGAGGGCCCCAACCACAAACGCTAGTTAAAGATTGACAGTCACAAATCATGTGTCTGTAACTGTGATAAAAACCATGACATACAGGCCTATCTGTCAGTCGGGAGATACTGAAACTTTTAGTAATGTTATGATATGACTACTGAAAAAAAAGTTAGCTAACTAGCTATTTTTATTTCGTTACACATACATAAAACCATTGAGATTACCTTTAGATAACTAGCTTATTTTATTTTGCTATAATAATTACATAAAGAAACCATTATGACCTTAAGCTAACTAACTGAATTTATCCAGTGATGAGTACTTAAAACCACCTTTATCATTTTGGATAACTGGCTATTTTTATCTAGTTAGAAGCGCTTAAAACAGTCATTCTGACCTCAAGATCTGTCTATCCCTCCTAGTTGGAAGTACACAAAATCACTAATATTACCTTGAGATAACTAGCTAATTTTATCTAGTGAAGTACTTAAGACCACTATTATGACCCTAAGATAACTAACATAAAACCACTAATATTACATACAGATAACTAACTTATTTGATTTACTTACATGCAGATTAAACCACTAACATTACCTTTAGATAACTAGCTAATTTTATCTAGTTATAAGTAATTATGTTCACCAATATGACCCTAAGATAACTAACTAGTTTTATTTAGCTACAAGTACATAAAACCACCAATATTACCTTTAGAAAACTAGCTAATTTTATCTCATTATAATACATAAAACAGCCAATATTAGCTTTAAATAATTAACTAGTTTTATTCAGATATCAGTAAATAAATCCACTAATATTTTACTTTTAAGGCCCAGACACACCAAACAGATGTTGGAGAAATAGCGGTGACAAGAGCCCCCTGCTGCCACGTCTCTCGTCATGTCTCGGCCAGAAAGTTGCACATAAACACAGCAATCTGATGGGCAACAGGCATGTATGTTCTGCACCTGCATGAAAGGACATACCCCTCCATACCAACAGATGGCAGTCGTCTGTAATTGTCATCCAAAAAGGGAAACTGGAAGATCGTCTTGACGCTAGTTAGCCAGTTAGCACATTGATAACACAATCTAATGTTGAAAGAACAGAGCATATTTGCTGTGTGCCAGTGAACAATAACTCAAACCATCAGTAAACGTTTCTGCCAAAGAGCTTGTGGCTAAAGAAAAACAATCTTACCTCATGTAACAAGTTTAATTTGACTCCCTCTTGACTTAACTCTTTGTTTACATTCCTCACTTGCGTTTCTCTTCTCGTGCACTGAGCTGAAATGCTTACCAGAATGATTTCATTCGCTGACGGACTCCACTGTGACAACGCCAACAATTTCAACATGAATCAGCAGAAAAAAGGCCAACAAATACTGTCTGGAGCCAATGATGCGGGACACACTGCACTGCCTAAGGTGGCAGATATTCAACAATGGCCCAACTTTGACTGATGGCAAACCATCAGCTTGGTGTGTCAGGGCCTTGGCTAACTAGCTAATTTTATCTAGTTATAAGTACACAAAATGATTATTACCTTTAGACAAGTAGCTAATTTTATTTAGTTGTAAGTACATAAAACTACTGATATTACCGTTAGATAACTAGCAATTTTTTATCTAATTATACATACATAACACCACTGACATTACATTTAGATAACTGGCTAATTTGATTCAGTTGTAAGTACATAAAACCACTGATATCACCTTTAGATAACTAGCTAATACAGTGAGCAGCCTGTGTGTAGCCTGAGAGGTGTAACTCCGGACAAAAGCAGCATATTGTTACATTTATCCAGATGAGTTCTGACTAGTTCATCATGGTGCTAATCATATTAGCATTAGGAGCTAACTCAGTGTCCCGTCTCTGTCCTCAGAAGTGGCCCATGCGTTCCCTGCTCTACTGTGGCAGCGTGGGAGAGCTGTTGTCAGGAGCCCCAGCCAATCAGACCCTTCCACCTGGACAGGACGGAACACACCCGCTGACCCCCACCTTAGAGGCTGACAAAGAGTGATAGCAGAGCATGGGTCATAACTTTCACCCTGTTTCTTATCTCTGGTGTTAACCAGCCACATAGCTACTAGAGGAATAAGGTGACGTAAAGACAGTTTTCAGTAACAAGAAGCTACATAGTTGCGGAGGTTGAACTTCAGGTGACACTTCATGCAGCAAGTAACATCAAAACCTTTAACACAGAAGTAAAAGGAAGGCAAACTTTTAGTGTTTTGGATGGAGATTAAAAAGAGACACATGCTTGCAGTTTCTGGTTTATCTAATAATAAAGGACAGGGCTTAAATTAACATGCAACAGTGGCCACTTTTAGCTCTGGTTGTTTGGAGAGTCAAGACATTTTGAAATCAAAGTAGCCTGGTGGTTACTTCAGTTCATTCTTTCATCAAAAACATGCCAAAAGAAAACAGTGTCCTTGTTGCCTTTGACTTGTTTGTTGGTACAGGTACAGATAGACACACAGGTTACTAGTACACACAGCACACAGAGGTTAAGATTCACCCCTGTTGAAAATATTCCATCATATCTAAGCTTTAGACAGCAGGTTGTCAGGAACTAATTTAATACAAGGAAATGAAAAAGCTGCATCACTTGACTAATAACACCACAAATCACAACATGGAGGTACAGTGTGTAGCCTATTATCTTGATTTAAAGGTTGTACAGTGTTTTATTTTGTCAGATGTGACTTTTACTGTATCAGAAGAGTTCAGTCAGTTTAAAAATATAACGTATTTTGTTTGGCTTTGATCCTTTTTATTTAGATGTTTGTGGTATCGCATGAAGTCAGTGTGTGTATGTGTGTGTGGGAGTGAAAGGATGGATGGACAGATGAGCAGTGGGGGAGGGACTGTTGTGGGAACACAGCTGCTGTCTGATCACTTCATATCTCTGCAGTAATGACCACTTAGTTCTCATTACAATGCTGCCACAGAATGTAACCTTTTTACTTGGAGTAAAACACCATCTACAATAACAGCTTGTGTGAGTTTGTTGTTACTTACAATCTAACACACAGTGCCAGACCCAGCACATTTGGCACCCGAGGCTACGTTCCCCTACTTAGTATCATATTTATTGTATTTATTACTAACAAAAACAAGAGCTGGTGAGAGAGCTTGAGGCACAAACAGTCCCACTGTTTGCATTAAACCTCAGTGGGCAGTCTTAGCACATTGGAATTAGAAATTAAAATCAACACCAGCTTTCTCACGAAGGCCTTGAGGGAATTTACTTACGTTTTGGCACAAACTTTCCCTCAAACTCAAGGATGAACTGATTAAGATTTTGGTAGTCAAAGTTCAAGGTCACTGTGACCATTTTAATCTTATTCTTGTGAATGCGATATCTTAAAAAGACCTTGAGGGAATTTCTACTAATTTTGCACAAACATCTGCTTAGACTCAAGGATGAACTGATTAGAAATTGGTGGTCAGTGATCATGGTCGCTGTAACCTAGCGTCCATCTTATTCTCAAGAGGGCCTTGAGATAATTTCCTCAAATTTGGCACAAACATCCAGTGGGGCTCAACAATAAACTGATTAGATTTTGGTGGTTAAAGGTCAAGGTCACTGTGACTTCTTTAGTCTTGTTCTTGTGAATGTGATATTCTAAAAAGACCTTGAGAGAATTCTACTAATTTTGCATAAACATCAGCTTGGACTTTAGGATGAACTAATTGGAATTTGGTGGTCAATGGTCACGGTCGCTGTGACCTAGTGTCCATCTTAATTGCATGACCAGGAGATCTCAAGAAGGCCTTGAGGCACTTTTCTTGGCACAAAAAATCACTGGGATTCAACAATAAACGGATTAGATTTTGGTGGTCAAAGGTCAAGATCAAGGTCACTGTGACTTCTTTAGTCTTATTCTTGTGAATGTGATATCGTAATAAGACCTTGAGGGAATTTCTACAAATTTTGCACAAACATCCGCTTGGACTCAAGGATGAACTGATTGGAATTTGGTGGTCAATGGTCACAGTCGCTGTGACCTAGTGTCCATCTTAATTGCATGACCAGGAGATCTTCAGAGGGCCTTGAGGTAATTTCCTCGAATTTGGCACAAACATCCACTGGGACTCAACAATAAACTGATTATTTTTTGGTGGTTAAAGGCTTTACAAAACATGTTTTTGGCCATAACTCATCACCACAATTCATATGCTATTCATGACAAAATTTCACACAAACGTCTAATACAATGATTAAGTGATGACATTTAATATCCAAAAGGTCAAAGGTCAGCTTCACTGTGACATCATAATGTTCTGCAAAAACACTTTTCTGGCAATTACTCAATGTCACTTCTCAGGAACAGAAGGGGAGACATTTAGTAAGATACGTCCACTTTGAAACTGTGCTGATTGTATAGCTCCTCTGTGCTGCTGAGTTGAAGTTGTGTGTGAAGCATCTACGTCAACTTCTTTGCAGCAAAATCTATATTTGAAGCATTGCCTACTATCATGGCTACATATAAGTCTGGACAGACATCGATGTAAACTGTAAGTGCAACTTGATTGGTGTGCAGAGGCATACAACCACAAGGCAGTAATTCCACGTTTTCTTTTTTTTTTTTTTTTTTGCACTCATTAGGTACCTCCTCTAGTTTTGCTCAGTGTGCAGACATTTTTTCCTATATTATGGGACGGTGTACTTTGACTACATGCACCTGACACTACTTTTTGAAAAGCCTGGATTGAAATAGTCCAGCACAGATAAAACCAACCAAACACCAAGGACATCTTTATGTTTCCTGTATTTCTGTAGGTAGGTAAAAAGCAAAGCAAGTTATAAGTAAAACTGTAATAAAATAAGTAAAATGTTAAATGATCAATACAGTTTGACTGGACAACGCCTAGCAATACAAACAAGACCAAGTTTCCAATGTCTTTCTTTTTTCCACAATATTTGTAGCACATTTGCAGTGCATGATTTATTAGATTCTGTTGCTGTGTGATTGCACTATAATTGCAGAAATGAGAGCTCAGCATCGAAATCCAATCCAATAAGTCATGTAGATATGTTTGTAGGGCGGATAGAAGAAGCCTGATGAGAGCCCAGACTTACTTAAATCCTCTCCTCCTTGAACAAGATGGGCTCAGCTCCACAAGCAACAGTCCAACATTCAAGGCTAGCACTATAAATCTGTCCAGAGGGGGGCCGGCTGCCCCCGGTTTCCCGTGCGTAGCGATGACTAATTTGGAGCTGCTGGAGTCGGACTACTAAAGCAGAGGTTACAAAAGGACAGCCGAAGCCAGACAGTTTGGTGAAGAGACTGCAGCAGAGACTAAGGTCTCTGTGTGTGCAGAAATAAGTATAGAAGACACTGAAATTATAAAACATGAAAAAACATTAAATATAATAAAATGAAAAAAACATCTGAAAAAGAGATTAAAACATTATTATCAAAAGGTTTCTAAACCACAATCTTTATGCTGCTTACGCAGACAAATAGTCAGTATAACCATCCTAGCAGAGTAAAACAAGCCTTTTTTTTTTTACTCAATTACACCTTAGTGATTTTTTGAATCAACTAAACTTTACAGCACTTCACAGTGCCACCGACTAGTGTTTTGGAGGTGTAACTGCAGAGTGACACAGACACACCACCGCACAAGTATAAATGCTCACAATGGTGTAGGCCACGTGCGTAGGATACGGCGTGGGCTCTGCATAGAACTGATGCACAAGTATAAATCTGCCTTAAGACATCCTGCGGTGAGGTTGCAAACTGCTGAAACTTCTCAGTGTGCCAAGCGTGAGGGAGAACCACGATAGCCACCAAAAACAACATGGTGGACTCTTGGGGAACGGACCTGCACCCAGTGCAGATATAAATACCTCATTCTAAAGTTATGGAAACACAGTTCTTATTTTCAGGTGATTATAAACTAATGAAAACATAGTTAAGAATATTATCAACCATTTCTGCCAGTAAATGCCCCTAAATCCTGCACATTGGGCTTTTAAGTGAAAACACTGAATTTATTGACTAAGACTAAAACTTTTTCAGCATTTCCACTCTTAATGCCATTTCATCTTCTTTCAGTATTTCAACTAATTCAGATGCCAAACTGCAAATTGTTATAGAAAATGTAATTAGAAATTCCCACAACTTCCACTGTTCGTACACAGTTTACTCCAACTGCTGTCAGTGCTGATACTTCAGCTGACACCTCAATTAACATCTTTCTGTTTATGCATTGAAGTGGCACAAATTTATTGTAGGACTCAGTTAATTGCCGTCATCTCAACATTTTCTGCACTTTTCTGCACTTTTTTAGCTGACACTTCAGCTTCACTCAGCACCAACATGCAGCATTTCAGCTTCTTTCATTTCAACTGTTCCGAATATTTCAACTACAGATTTTCCAAAGAAAAGTTAGCCTTTTCTTCTTTAATTTAATTTGTATTATTTTTCCTCTTTACAAATAACATCCAGTGTCCACTAATCTTACTATCAACTCTTGAACTTCAGGTGACACTTCAAACCCTTTCAGGTCCAAGGTTCTTCCCTTAAAAACAAAAACAAAAATGCAGCTTTTCTTCCCACAATGTGCGCTGTTCTGACAAAATTTTCTCCAGGACATTCACTTAAATATTTCTAGCTTAATTAATGACTTATACCTCAACTATTTAAGCTCCTATCAGTGCTTGAACTTAAGTTAAATCCTCAACTTCTTTCAGCACTTTAACCTTAACCGATGCTTGAATCGACACTTTCACTGCTCACACTTTAACTATTTCGCCTGTCACTTCCACTGCTTTCAGCATTTCAGCTATTTCAAATATTTCACCTTCAAATTTCATTCAGTGAATTTATCTAAATTAAAGCCACATGGAAACAAGATGCCCCATTGCACCGATAGGCAAGAACAGTTGTGCATCCCCTCATGTTGGGAGATAATCAACATATTTTCACTATCTCCTGCTCATTATGGCCGGTACACGCTGATTACAGGCTGGATTTATGGAGCTCTGAGGCCACACTCCCACTGCTTTGGCCAGGCCTCTGCTGGAACAACAGAAGTCGAGACAGAGGATGACAGTGAGGAGGAGGAGGAGGAGGAGGATGACTGGAGAGAAGGATGAAGAGGAAAAGGGGAGGGTGGAGGAGAAGAGCAGAGAAATGAGAAGTGGACTGTGGAGGAAATAATAGAAAGAAAAGAAGAAGACAGGAGGGGAACAATGAACGGAGATGAAGGTGAAGGGGGAGAAAGGTTTTTATTTGTTATGATCATATTTGTTCAGCCTGAGATAAAAAAAAGTTATAGTTAACTGTAAGATTTCTCAATATTTCCTTTGTAAGATTAAGCTTGGCTAAACATTCTTACAAATTCAAACATTGTTTACTTACTTCTTTTCTCTTTTGTTCAGTGTACCATGATGGAAAAAGGTCCATGCTGCTGTTTGACATTTGAAGAAAAGCTCAGTGCAACATTTCAGTAAGAAGAGCGTTGAGCTGCTAATAATAAAACCTACCTCACCCCTCCTTGGGGTTTGTTGGGCTTTGTTAAAGGAAAACTTAACCCACCAGATGATCATTTGTATATCAGTTACTCACCCCACGTTACGTTGAATTTGTAAGGAAACCTTCGTTTTTCTCCCATGCCTCCACGGTGAACGATAAATCCAGAAACGGAGAAAACTCTTGATGAATTGAAGTAAATGGGGGCCGTGTTTAACAACAGCAAAGCTATGTCAAAACGCCTTTTTATAAACTTTCACATAAGTCGTGCAGTACAATCCAAGTCTCACTCATCTAATTTATCTACTTCCCCAAAAGGTTTTTACTTAAACCACAATATTACAGTCTCGTCTCATGCATGCTCTATGCTATGCACGAACACAGTTCAAATGCATGTTTGCCAAGGTGTGCTACTCCTAATCAAAGGTGTTTTAACTAGTAATAGGAACTCGGCAACTCACACTAAAAAAATCTAGACTGATGAACAGCACAACAGGCAAGAGGAAAAATATGTATTTTTGATTTGGGGGGGAACTGTCCCTTTAACACTTCTGCAGGGTGCCCCCCATTCGCAAATTTGCAAATCCTAGGATGGTGAAGTAACGGCCCACTTTACTCTGCCTCTGACTGGCTTACCCTGACAGTCTTACTCTAACCCAGGGGGAGGCAAGATGCTGCTCAACTATGGTGTGTGTCATACATCTATGACCTGGCACTTTCTCCTAAATTTTGGTGAACCTAAATAGTGGTGGCCAGTTAGTGGTGCAAGTGGACAGATTTCTTTCCTTTCACCACCAACACTACAATGTTTAAGGACCAAATAATCATAAATGGCCCACTGCAGAGTAGCCACCTTGTGCTAAAACATATTGATGACTGCTCATTTAGAACTGTAAGTAATAATGATAGGCCTATTTAGACCCAACTGGCTGCATCACCTTAGTTATAACACACAAATATGTATTGTGGATCCAGACAAATTAAAAAAAAAAGATTTTGGCCAAGCATGGCTCTTTTGATACTACAGGTCGCTGACCCCTGCCGTAACCTTAACCAGTCCCCGTCCTCTTGCCTAAACCTGACCAATCCAAGCAGCAAAGGCAATGAGTACTAGCCAATCATAGGGAGAGTAGGGCAGGTCATTCTTTCACCAACGTAGAATTTGCAAATTTTCTCGTTCATTCTTAATTCAACACGTGTTTAACCTTGCAGATGTTAGTTAGCAGCTTTTCACAATAGTATACGAGTTCCTAATAAAAACCTTTGACCTCACTATTTAGTATTTTAGTTAACTTTGCAACAGAAAGAAATTCAGAAATTAACTGATGTTCTGAAAGTAAGATGAATGGTTTTCACCTCATTTAGAAATATTATCAGCCAACCATTTATAAGGATTACTTACAGTATATAGCAATAATATGAATTAACACTTTTACAGTTTTGTACGGTACTTTTGGGGGGTACACTGGGTGCCACTCCTGTCAGCTAAGAACAGGAAACTGAGACTACAGTTCACACGACTCACCAAAACTGGACAATGCAAGATTGAAAAAACGTTGCCTGGTCTGATGAGTCTGGATTTCTGCTGCAACATTCAGATGGTAGGGTCAGAATTTGGCATAAACAACATGAAAGCATGGATCCATCCTGCCTTGTGTCGACGGCTCAGGCTGGTGCTGGTGGTGTGATGGTGTGGGGGATATTTTCTTGGCACACTTGGGCCCCTTAGTACCAACTGAGCATCATTTAAACACCACAGCCTGCCTGAGTATTGTTGCTGACCGTGTCCATCCCTTTATGACCACAGTGTACCCATCTTCTGATGGCTACTTCCAGCAGGATAACACACCATGTCACAAAGCTCAAATCACCTCAAACTGGTTTCTTGAACATGACGATGAGTTCACTGTACTCCAATGGCCTCCACAGTCACCAGATCTCAATCCAACAGAGCACCTTTGGGATGTGGTGAACAGGAGATTCACATCATGGATGTGCAGCTGACAAATCTGCAGCAACTGTGTGATGCTGTCATGTCATGGACCAAAATCTGTGAGGAATGTTTCCAGCACCTTGTTGAATCTGTGTCACCAAGAATTAAGGCAGATCTGAAGGCAAAACGGGTCAAAAACAATACCAGCAAGGTGTACCTAATAAAGTGGCTGGTGAGTGTATAATGCTTAGTAATGTTTACTTGTTAATATTCTTCTTCAGAGAGTATGACTTAATAGGATTCTACAAATTAAGTACACTGAGCAGGGACAGTTTAAAGTTACAGAGAACAAACCACATCAGAAATTTCTAATCACATATTTGCATTTTTGAAAAAGCAACAACAATCAAAGACCAGGAGGGGATAAAACAAACATTTTACAACAAAGTCAATGCATTAAACAGTTAACTCATCATTCATTATCTTTTTTTTATCTTTTATTTTTTAATATCATCTTAATTCAGGTACATCATACTTAGAAATCTAATAGTCATACATCCAAACAACAGTGAAACATGTCAAATGCAGTCAGTTGAGCTTTTCACTGAATTAAAAAGGTGCATGCACCAGTTTTCTGTTCTATACTCTGTCTGTCTACAGGACGGCTTCTCCCCATCATATCATGAGACACAGGATTCTTCTTTGCCATTTCAAGAGTTAAATCTCATGACAGAAGTACAGGAGATTTTTCTGTGTGATTCACTTACTCATTTAGACATCTGGGTTTGGACCACTCCTGGAAAGATGCTCGGGACTGAGCTCATATTCCTGACAGGGGCGGAACAGAGGGGGGGGCTTCAACCCTGTTAAAGCCCTGATTCTATGTTATTGTCTAAAGAGTAAATGTTCCTCTGTTGGTGTCATATTTAATTCAGAGTACTGATAACCACATTTACTTAGCATTGTTGAATCATATATTTACATTTTGAGCAGCCAAGATTAATATGGTATGGAATCAGTTGTAGCAGATTTGTCCAATAAAAACTCATTTACTAAAACAAAAAAAAAAGTTTCAAGATTAGTAAAGCGTCAACTCCAAATTCATTCCCCACCTGTTATATAACTTGAGAGAAATTGTCTGATGTTACTAGTTTTATGCGAAAGGAGTAAAAATTAATCATCCTCAACATTTGTTGTGTAATGGTTTCAGAATATTTCTTCCTCTGGACGTTTTCTGTTTTTCCTTAGGCCTTGTTTTCACGGATACCGATACATATAAAAACAGATTTTTATTTATCCCATATAAAAGAAATTCCGGGTTTACACAATCAGTTGTGAAAACGATACTGAAAACACAGAAAAGGCAGCTTTTTGCTGCAATTAGCATGCCAGGTCAGTAGGTGGCGATACACCATATGTCAAACACTATAGAAGAACGTTCCGCGCATGCACAGTGATGTTTTCCTCCTGGCGCTAGTGATAGAAACAATGAAACTACATTTTAACCCTGTGTAGCAGTTAGCTGCTATTCACTTACTAGTATTGGGCACAGCAGACGTCTTTGATGTTGATGCAGTAGTGCTAAGTTCATTTGTAAGCTCGCAAGTAGTCCCAAAAGTGCTAACAAAACGTAAACAACCCGGCATATATCCACCATCGTTGTTGTGGTTCCCAGGGCGCCTAATGGGCATGCGTGAAATGGGTTGAAACGTCATCGTTTTCCAAAATCTCCATCTATCCTGTTTACACATCTCCATAGACACAGATATTTTTTAAAAACTTTCACTTTGGAAACCGTTTTTGAAAATGAAAATCTCCGTTTTCGTCGAGAAAAATGCCTGTTATGTGTAAATGATGGGTGCAAACGCAAAGATAAATACCCGTTTTCAGAAATATACGGAACCGTATAAACAGGCCCTTAGATGATATACCAATCTTTAGGCGTTCTATTACCTTAAATATCTTGACAAATAGTGCACATAGCTGCCGTGAATGGGGGGGGGTGGGGGCGGGGTGGGGGGGTGAAGATCACCCTGGTTGCATGCCCCCGGATTCCCCTCGGTTTGGGCTGAGTCCCCACCGGTTATGTCTAGCTCTGCCCCTGCTTCTTGGTAATATCCTGGACTATATATGAAAACTACATCAGGATACAGAAGGAAAAAACATTATCACAAAATGAAGGCACAGCCAAAGCAGAGGAGTCGTCGTGACTTCAGTGCTTATGGGTTGTTTCAGGGTTTCTTTTTTGGAATGCATAACAGGAAGAATTCTTGTGGATGGGAGGACAAATATAATAAATATTGTTCAAAACAATATTTATTATTGCTGGAAATTACTAAGTGCCATGCATTTCTTTCACAAGCTGTACTCTGAACTATATTACTGTACGGTCCAAACTGATTTACCATCGTAAAGGCCACTATTGCAAAGAATAAGCCATTAGAATCAACTTAACACTGCATCTAAGCTGCTTTACACCAACTGACTGACGGCTTCAGTCAGACTGTGTCAATATCAGGACGACTGAGTCCTGACATCATTATGCTTTATTAGGTGTCATAGTGTTCATCAGTATCACAGTGCTCCATCCAGTCTGGGTTGATAAAGGACATCTTTAACAGCAATAATATCAATAGTATGTCAGCACTTGAATTATGTTTCCTGGCATTATAAAGGGGTTGTATCTGTGTATCATTAAGGTAAAATTACAGGCACACACTTCAAGTAATTTCAGGTATGAAGGAAAAGGATTCAATACTACGCAATCATAAATAAAGTACACATTGTCACGTCATTTAAAAGTAGTTCAAAAACTCTGAACCATTAAAATGTCTTGAATTGTGACTGTGGAGGCCAGCATATGGGATGTAGCACTTAAAAACATTCCCTGTGTGAAATGTTTTCTAAGGCAAGGGATGCTAGTGTTACGCTAAATGCTATCACATCTCAGTGGACTGCTACATTCCCAGTCCTGCCTGACATTCATTAAAAAAAAAGGACACATTTCATGGTTCTTGCATATAGAATTCCACATTTCAACTCATGAAATGTGGCTTTACGTGAATTTACAAAAATATACAAATGATCTCAAATATATATTCTGTTGGTAACAATAAAATAAAAAAGAAAGAAATTCATGTTCTATATGCTTTGGATAAATCGAGGTATCTCTGATGGTACAAACATGTTGCTCGTGTAAGGGATTGGTGCTTTAGGGCTCAACATTCCAACAAACAGGGGATCTAGTGGTTTGGAGAGTCCATAATCCTTTCCAAATAAATGAGACATGCTAAGCTGCTTCTTTCCTGATGCTAAACTGGGTCACCTTGATTGTCTGGCATGTACTTCCAATACAACTCCGGCAAACTCATTTAAACGGTAAAATGTAAGGCAACTGAGACAGCACGCGCTGATAGAGCGACGTTACTGACCGACTGTTTAAATGAGATGTCGGTTGTATTCATGTACTTCACGTAGACTCTCCATAAACTGTAGAAACTCTTTGGAAACATGTCAGAGCGGTTTGGCTGTTACAAACTTAACAATGCTGAATAAACAGTAAGTCACATGACCATGCAGTCCATTGTTAAGAGCACAAACTACCAACTCAAAACACCATAAACACACACAACACCTCTCCTCTTACACAATGACAATGGAGGAGGACTTCAAATGCTAAAATGGTGATGCTCAAGAATTCTGTGATTCCAAAAAACATGACAATGGTGATAATATTCAACTACACAATATCAGGCAAATCAATCACATACTGGCACTGACAACAACCTGAATTAAATAAAAAGACGGGCACTTACAATGATGTTGAAAATACAAAAATACCAGAGATGACTGACTCGTAGTTACCTTTAAATATATCAAGTTACTGCCTAATGGAAATAAAGTAGGTCCACCTCAAAGGTCCAAGATGGCGTCTCTGTGGTTTGGAGCAGTGCTGGCAGTCAGATGGGAGCAGGGATAAACACGTATAATAGCCACTTGTGCTGTAAAACATATAAAGCTAATGAAAACAAGACCTTACAGAGCGCCCCATGTTAATCCCAGCTCTTCAGAGAACATTCAGTCAATGAGGCACTTCAGAGCTTCATGGGGCTTCCTGTGAACAACATATCCTGACAGTGTTAAGGATATGTTCACTGTGACTGAACACAACAGAAAAGTACACAAACTGTGTACATCAAAAACATGAGTTTTGACAGTGTGCGATTTTATATTAAAAATACTTTGTGTATTCCCCAAAGGGTATAGCTTTCCTGATTGATTTACGGCCAGCATATTGGTCTCTAGTGTAGCGTCAATTACACTAACTGCTTAAACACACAACACACACAACCAGATTCATTCTACTCCTCCTGTCATGTCTTTTTAAAGATTGAATATCTTGATACAATAGTCACATGACGTGTAGTAGAAGAGTTACTGGTTGCTGCAATCATTCCTATTCGTTGCTGCCAAGTGCTAACTGATACCATAATGACATGCGAGTATTGTATTAAGAGCTACAAGACAAAAAAAGCAAACTTATTCTTTAGGCAAGACATCTTATGTCTGACTCGACCAATCATGCCACCAACTTCTCCAGAAGCTGTAAGAGGAGAGAACAGAACACAGTCTGTGTCCAATGTGTTCCCTGTGCATGTGTATGTATATGTAATATGTGATGTTAACTAATGAGTGTGTGTTATATAGGAGGTAGTGAATGAGTGAATGATGGCAACTCGTGAGGGATTTGTTGCTCTAGGCTTGTACAAAAGTCCTCAAAGAATGACAAACAGTGGATAATATTAATCTCCTTTGTGGGAACAACCACAATGAGTATGGGGAGAGAGCAACTCTGCATGGGGAGTAAGCAGCTCTGCAATCGGACAGAGCAGCTCTGCACACTGACTGGATTACATTATCCTCATGCACTGTTGGTAGAAACCAGATTTATTGTGCTCCATCTATTTTAACTGCCACCACAAGACGCCATCTTTGCTCACCTGAACACACAGCGTTGCCATTTGTGGACTCATTATTTAAACATCTATATTAGCAGCTGGTAGGCGACTATTAGTGTTAAACCAAGGCCATGTAAAGACACTACACGATCACAGTACTGTCATGCCTTCCGTTCAAGTTCTGTCTCTTTTCTTTTTATATTATATTCTCTCGTACATATTCTGGGACTGTATGGCTCCATCTTCTCTACAAAAATATCACATCTTGTTTACATCATTTACATCTTGCATCTATTAACTACCTGATTCTTTTGTCAAATAGAGTGACGGGATCCAGTCACAGTGGAGCAGCTCATTGTGCATGAGAGCTACTCACTCCATTAACTTAAAACTGCACACATCTGGACAGAGAGTGTTGCTATGAAGGATCAACTGACTTATTTCTTCTTTAACTGCCGCCATTTGGGCTTTCAGTGCACAGTTCCAGCCTGGCAGAAATCGATCTCTAGTCGGGTTTTATTTATTTATTTTTATTTTTATTTATTTATTTTTTTTTGAGAAAAATGTGTGAGCAAGTACCCATGAACCCTCTTAAGTTCATAACCAGATTCAACTGATTATGACATTGTAAAACATGAACACCCAAACCTGGTGCTGCAGACCCTCAGGACGTCTACTTACTGATGGACTTCACATCTATGATCTGTCTTTTTCTGCGCTTCCCCCCAGACAACTGGACAGTGCAGTAGCTGGGGGTGAAAGTGGGTATATGCTATAAGTAGAAGACAAAAGGATCACAAGGCTGTCTCCTGAACCGTGTGAGCCGTCAGTTGACATGATGGCAGAGCAATCCTTGTTTCTAAGTCTTCCTCCTCTGTTTCTGCTCTGTCACTCTCTGCCTCTTTGTCCTCTGTGACTGTATCCTCTTTGCAGTAAGCTGTTCCGTTGCTGTCTTTCTTGGCCATCAGATAAGGCTGTGCGAGGATTTCTTTGGGCTGGTAAACAAGGATAAAACACTACTGAAAGCTCAGGTGACGGTAAACAAACAAGAAATACACACACCAATGTAAAGATGAGGCTACCTTCTGAGCCAGTGGAGTGACACAGCAGAGCTTCTCCCTGTAGCGCTCAGGCAGGAAGAAAAGCAGTGTTCCCAGGACCGGATACACTGTGCCAGGGGTCAGCTCCTTCTCTTTCATAGGTCCTAACATGTTGACAGATGCATGAACAGGACAGCATTGATGAGGTATTCAAACAATGGGGCCAATTAATGTCAGTGAAAGCCTCTAACTTAGCGCATATGCCAAGAAGTGACTATAGTGTGTGTGTACTACTGTCTTTTTCTGGTCAACAACCTGAACACATAACTACCATGAAAATAATATTCTAATAGGACTATTTGTGGCTTTAAATATATTGGACCTGATATGATGGATGTGATAAATCAAAGAGCGGTTATTAAGTCTTTGGGGGCATCACAGGAGCTGTGGTTCCAACACTGGCAACTAAGCACTCAACAATCAAGTACAGCCTGATCTCAAAGATTTACCTTCTGGTTCATCTGGTTATGAACCTTCCAAACAAAAAAGACCACAGCTCTAGTGTGATGCTTATTCAAACTGTTGCAGAGCAATAAGATCATTAAGGTGATATAGTTGGTTTTGGAACTGATGAGACAAGTCTAAATTTGTGTACCTGTCAGCAGACTGACTATCAGTCCAACCACCACCACAGTGGTGGAGTTGTGAGCACTGTACCACATGTAGGACAACGAGTAGAGCGCCTCCACACCTGTCGGCCTGAAGGAGAGGGGCAAGAGGAAAAACAAAGGAACATTAGACCTATCTGATGATCACTGTGTGGCTGACCATCTGCAGTCTACCTGTAGTGTTCAGTGACAGTGATGGAGCCACCACAGATTTTTAAGGTTAGTTCTTGGGAGTCATGTGTTACCTTGGCTTGGCTGTGGTGGCGCCGACCAGTGTAGTCATGACAGTGGTGGTCATGTTGTCAAACAGGGGCAGGGTAGTGGTGTTGAGTGGGGGCACTGTGCTGGCAGCAGACATACGCATTACGAAGTTGCCAATGCCAATCCAGAAGGCCATGGCGAGGCCTGCGACTAACCCAACTACTGCACCCTGAGGAGGTAACAGATGGTTTATTCAAACCTCAACTCAAACCAAACGTGAAGTCATGTTTGTGACCGTGCGTCACTGCAGTGTGAAATGTTCACACGAGACTGTATTATCACTATAACCATCTCCCTCTCTCCCACCAATTATCATTTAGCACATTGTGATTTTATTCTCCCATCATTCTCTATTGCATTTATTTCAAATTAGCAGACTCACAGTAGGGTTTGCCCAGGGAAAGAACATTCCCAGACAGAAGAGGCCCAGCAGAGGACCACCCACCATCCCAAAGATGCTGAAGGCTGCCTGAGGACACAGAGGACAGAGAGCATGGCAGTGCAATCACTGACTGACTCTTTTCTTCAGGTGCTGATAGTGTGTGTGGTACTTAACTACAACCATATTTTATGATGAGTCACAGCTTTAATTAAATAACTTTTCTTCATGTGCAACTCGGAGCATGTCAATAGTTTGTTACCTGCAGCACAGATCCCATTATAGAGGCGAGGTAGGCCATAGCCAGACACACCAGGCCGTAGACCAAAGCTGTGGACCAAGTACATGACAAAGACATATTTAGTGCCAACTTGCTGTTGGGAGGAGGTTATACACTGCATCAAATAGGTTCAAGTATGTACCAAACTGACTTTGAGTACTGCCACTTCTTTATAATCACAGTATAATGGTAACAGGATGTCCTCATCCAGTGTCAAAGGTTGGTATCGGGGCTGATCAAAGTGTTTTGTAATTGATCTTGATCAATCATACTGAACTATACGAAGCTTGGTCTGATCCCTTGTTTTACATGACCTGTCACACAGGTGGTTCATGCACAGCAACACAGAGTGTAGCCATCATCGACTCTCAAAGTTGACCAGACTTTTTTTCGTAATGCACCGCAGGTCGATTCAATTGTCAAGCATAGGTCATACATCGGATTGATTTTAAAATAGAATTATTGGATTGGGATATGCCATCAGCAGATAGTCAATATTACATGCCTCAGATCAGGGGCAGCAGGGAATGCAGTGGCCACAGCAGGCTTTTTGTCTCACTACTCCCGAGTTTCCCTCTGTGACAGCAGGTCGACCCAGCTTAAAAGAAAATATCATGGGCTTGGGCAGGTGAATCAAAAAGTGACAAAGCAGTATTCCACATTATCAATAATTTACAAAAACTTTGCGTGCAATAGTCTATCTTCCACCCCCCATGACCCCTAAAAACGGAAACACTCCTTCGAGATTCTCGCTGTGCATAAACTCGTCTGTCCTTGTCTCAGTCCTGCTATTTTCGCCACTATAATGTATAGTAGCGATGCACCGAATATTCGGTAACCAAATATATTCGGCCAAATATTGCAAAAAAACACACATTTGGTATTCGGTGGAATAAGTGAAAAGCAAGGCTGAATAATAGCAGTGTGTTTTGATAACGCAATCAAACAGCGTGCGGTGACGGAAGGAGTAAAATGTCGGCAGTTGCGACTAAAAATAGTTTTGTGCAAGCAAAAGAAATAAAAAAATTCAGAAGCACGCTGTGTGAGTACAGATTTCAACCAGCAGCAGAAACGAAAGGCGAATCCTGCCGGTTGTGGGTTGAACGGGGGCCACAGACACAGACAGGAATGTATTCCTGCCAAATATGGCAGCCATAGTGCTCCACGGCGCAAGATAACGGCTTACCGGCGACGGAGAAGCCCGGCTCCAGGTCCAATAAGAATTCGTTGGTGTCATAACTGCCCAAAAGTACCTGAACAACCAAGTATGAATAAGTCAATAAGTAATTTATTCCACTGAAATATCATTGATGTATTATAGAAAAGTGATTTATCTTTTTATAAATGACAAAAGGCACATCTGTCTCATTTTCACTGTGGTATCGTGATACTACTCAGAACCATGATATTTTCACTGGTATCGTAGCGGAGGTCCACTTTTGGAACCGTGACAACACTAATCTGGAGGGGGTTCATCTGCAAAAACTAATGAAAAACTAAACAACGGCATTCGGTATTCGGTATATATCCCTGCTGCGTGAGGGTGACCACAGAATAGCGATCACTTTTCAATAATGTGGAGTAAATGAAATGACTAGTGAAATCAGAGCCCTATGTTGCAAACAGAATGGGCATATTTATCTCATGATCATCCAGAATGATATGAATCAACTTGAAGAAACATTATGGCTGCAACACAGATATGTCAACTAACTTTGGGCAGAATTAAAATCTGTTTCCACCACATCATTTATACTTTCCATAATAACATATTTGGGTATGTCCCTAATCTAGTAGTGCATGACAAAAAGCCTTAGAGCACTCTTCTTACCGAGTCCCTTGGACAGCAGCGTGGCTTTAGCTTCTGTCATGTTTGGAAAATGAGGTTTAATCAGGTCCTCCATGGTTACTGTTGCTAGGGAGTTAAAGGCTGATGAGATGGTGCTGGGGGAGAGAAAACAGGACTGAATGAGTGACTGGGATTTTGTAACACTACATGGCTCATCTGTATGGCACAGTCGTTTAGGAAAGCGCATAGATACATATTGTCGTTACCAGGAACTTTCAAAAACTGATAAATGTCTTCATTTCTTGGGAAACACAGTGAGATTTCCCATTAAATTTAAAAGGAGGACATGTTAAAGAATACTCACTTATAGACACACCAATAATTAACAATTTTATGTTTTTGACTTGCTGAATGTCCAAGAGCAGGGATTAACTATGTGCATGGCAAAGTCATAAAACAAAGACACTAAACTTTACTCTCTTAGTCAAAGACCTTTAAATTAATAACAAAACATTAATTTAATGGACAGCAGCTCTTTGATGCTTTAATACCCAGCTCATAAAATAATCTCATCTGTCAATCAGGCATATTATTGCCAAACTTTATTATTTCAGGACTGACTGGGAAAGCCAAGAATTATAAATTACTCAGAACAACAAAACAACATGCTGTGATAAACCAGGTGGAAGTTCAACAACTGGATGACCAGTTGTGAATCAGCTTTGTTCTTATATCAACCTGCTGATTGGTCGTGAACAAACAGCAACCAAATACTCTTTCCAATCTGTTTTCTTGGGTCATTTACCTGAGAGCTCCACTGAAGAGACAGGCCACAAACAGTCCTGCCAGCCCGGGCAGATCCTTGAACACGTCCATCACAAAGTACAGCACCATCTGAACAAAGCAAGTGAACATTAGGATGTCCCTCCAGAGCCAAGACTGACCAAAACACTCAATATTCACTACTTTGGGGAACTGTGACAACAAATTAATGTCAACCTGGTCATTAGTTTTGACGTAGCCCTTGTCCAGAGGGCTGTCCTCTCCATAGCGAGCAAACATCACCAGACCCATCATACAACCTAAACACAAGACGATCTGCTGGCACGGAAAAACTACATAGCAGGACCTGGAAAAACAAATGAAAGACACTGTCAACAATGGAGACAAGATGACTGACATCGTTAAGTAACAATAGAAATACGCAGGACACTTTCTCATCCCACATCCCCTTTTTGATTAAATTTGGGAAGAAAACTCTGGTTTGCTCACAAGCCTTGACAATGAACGAAGAATCCAAAAATAGAGACATCAGTCTCCTGCACTGTTAATGTGCAAAGGTTTAAAATGGTTTGAAATGGTACAGTTTTTTAGTGAGACTTCATATGATAGGTTAATACTGGATAAATGTGGCTTGGACAATACTGCATGAGAGGTATGAGAGTTTGTAAGCAGATATTTTGATATAGTTATGCTGTAGTTAAACACAGACCCCTTTTACCTCAATCAGAAATTTTCACTGTTTTTGGATTCTTTGTTCACCGTGAAAGGATGCAAGAAAAAGAAAGTATTCTTCATGAATTCAATGTAACACTGTGTGAGTAATTGATAGACAAATCAACATACTGGGGGGGGGATAGTGCTCCTTTAATATGGGTTAATACTCCGGCTGGACAATTTATTGTTTCAGCATTGACATCAAGATGTGCGCATGAGCAGTAATTGCATCACAGGATATACAATGTCATGTCATTAACTCAAACACGTCATGCTACATCTTTTTTGCTGCTTAATTAAAAAGGAAAATCTCGCCTGGTTCTCATTTTCCATGACTAATGTTACTGGCTGCGTCTTCCGCTCAGACAGGTTAAGTGTGTATGTGACGTAGTCTGGTGGTATTTGATATGGTAAGTGAGACTCTCATTCAATTGTGAGTGTGTGTGTGTGTGTGTGTGTGTTGAAAAGTACCCTAACCGGGTGAGTAAGTGCTACAGACACAGTGAGAATGCACATGGTTTTTGGAAGCCACAGTAGTCAGCATAAAGCATCTAGATAAGCTCAGGTTCTGGTATAATGACTGTTGAAAGGACTACGTGTTGTGTTCTCTGCGGAGGAGGAGGAGGAGGAGAAGAAATAAAGCCTCTGTATATTGCAACAGTATCACAGTGTTGCCCAACCACTCTTCACAGCAAAGTTTCCGGACTGTAAAAGCTCGTTACCAGCTATGAGCCAAGCTAAAGCTAATTGAGCTAGCTTAAAGAAACCAGAGGTCTCCCAAGGTTCAGAACTGCAAGGCTGGAAAGATAACTTTAACAATAACGTTAATTTACAAGAGAAACCTGTCTGATAAACAATCAAAGCACGCCCTACTAGTAGTCAACCACAACCTGAAAATGAGCAAGAAACATGGTGATTCAACCAGTGTGTTAATTTCCCCCCTCCTCCCCCTTAGAAAAGTCTTCAGAGTATTAAGTCATTTTTCAGCTTCCATTATCTTTATTTTCTATGCAGATGCACTTCCCTACAAAATCAACCTAATAAATCCAGCATGATTACTTATTTCCAAATAGAGCTATTCAAGTCATCTTGTGAAAATCTCTGTCCTTCATATGAAAAAAATATTGCAATGTCAGTTTTTTCAAATATTGTGCAGCCCTAGTTAATGCGCCATGATCAAAAACACAAATGTCTCTGCATCATGTTGTCCTAAAACAGGGTTATGTCTGCATGCTGTCAGACACTGACGGTACTCACATGACGGCCTCTTTCTCCGAACGAGAGCTGAGGTATCTTTGGACCTGGGCCTGGTTGACGCCGTACAGTGCCAACATCAGGAAGACTCCTCCTACACCCAGCGTCCAGAAGGTGTGGCGCTCCAGAGGGTCGGGGTTCAGGCTACACAGGCAGAGAGTTAACACAATATGAACATTCGAATATTGATTTCTACCTTTATGCAGTACAACACGTAAAGGTAATGAGGAATACCTCATTCTATAGCACTTAAAATATGCTGACTACTCACTCTAGTCCAGCAATGCGGCTGCCATTGACTGCTTTCCTCCACACCTCTGCTATGCCCCCTGCCTGATTGGCCCCCACCACGATGACCGCCAGCTGACCTGCAAACATCACCACCGTCTGGAATACATCGGTCCAGATCACCGCCTTCAGACCCCCCTAAGACACAGGAACAGTGGATTCACTTTAAAAATCACACCATCACCATAAAGGCATGTCCTGATCAGAGCCAGGATGTACTGACAACAAACAGAATGAGTGACAGCTACATTCCTAGACTAACGGAAGAGGGTGGTAGGGAAAAATGTAGACATTACATGTAAGAGAAATTGATGATTTTTCAGGAAGATTTCTAATCAAGTGTTGGTGGATGTTTTGGGAGAGGGGGTTGTTATTCTGGATTGTGATCACTAGTTAACTAAAGACACTTCCTGACTACTAGTGCTGCACGATTAATCTAATCGCAATCACGATGTCAGGCTGTGCAATTACATAACCGCATAAAAGGCTGCGATTTGCCATTTAATGTAAATAAATGTCAATGTGTGTGCCTGTGAACATGACTACCTCTCCTGTAGTGTGTGGAGTTTGTTGACATCACGCCCCGAAACTATCCTGGTGTGTGCAGCACGTATGGTCAGGTGACCACCTGGCATGCAGCAGTGACCAACACATATGCTGAAGAAGAGCATGAGCACAACCATGAACAGGCTGAGTTGGTGGCGAAAAAACCGCAACATCTATTATATGGCGATACTTTGGATTCAGGTATGGCGATGTTGAACAGAAAGACGTGCTGTGTAAAAGTTTAAGTCGCCACGTCCTGCGGCAACACGACCAATCTATATCAGCACTCCAGACAGCACAGAGAAAAGTACGAAGCATGCATGTGAGAGAAAGACAATGAGACAACTGAAAGCCGCCAGAGCCTCATAAACAACATACAAGCACAGTTACACACACATTTGTAAGTGTCACGGGGAAATCACAGACTCCATAACAAACTATATAATAACAAATGAAAAATTGAGCAATTTTGCTCAGTTTCGGCCCACTTGACATGCTGCTGTGTTGTGCTATGGCATGCTGGAATTTGTTATTTACGTGACAACACCTGAACGCAACACAGGCTCGCTCTGCTGTGTGTCCAGTGCCGTGCTGCGCTGCTGTGTGAGCAGCGTGTTTGACTGTGCATAACAGCAGTCTTCTGATGGTCATTTACACACTGTCCATAACAATAACTATGTCAGATCAGTGCCCCCCTAATATAATGTAGGGGAAACACTGAATCAAGCAAGAAGACTAATGATACCATTTATGTATTATATTGTAATTGCAAATCGCGATATTGTCCACTCAAATCCCAATCGCACATTTTTATCAACTCGTGCAGCACTCCTGACTGCTGTAAAGTTTCTTCATCTTTTACATCTTTGTTTAGTTTTACAGACATTTTATTTTTAGTTTAAAAAGGCTGATCTTTATGTCGTTATTGTTTAACTTCTGCTGTAGAAAATCAAATGGAGTAAACAAATATTTTGTCAGTTGTCATTGATGAAATTGGAAAGATTTAGGGACTCACCAGAGCAGTATATAGAGTACACACCAACCCCATGGCCAGCACTGCCCCCCACAGGTCAAAACCTGTCACTGCAAGTAAACACAGTTGGAGCGTTACCTATCACTGCAACACAAGTTAGTGTGAACATCATAGAACTACAACATGTCAATGTCAATATGAATTAGGAACTGTTTGTGCAAAAAGTGGTATAATATTTCTGTGGTAAAATATGACAAAAAATATGCTTCTCTTACCTGCATTGAGTGCCAAGGCTGGGGCATACAGGACCACCCCCATGTAAATGACCTGCAGAGGAAGAGAAAAAAATGTTACAGAGCAGGAAGACTCATAAAACAAGAGCTGATCTCAGGTCATATTTCGAAGCTAGCTGACTTGCACGTGTCAGATTATTACTGATTAACTGTAAAACATTCTGTGTCTTTAGGAGAGAAAGAAGTTTGCTTTGACAGGTCTCACTGACCTCAGGAAAGTTTTAACAGGATAGTTTGGGTCTTTAAAAGTGGGGTTGTATGAGCTACTTATCCACAGTCAATGTATTACATACAGTAGATGTCAGTCGGCACACCCCCAGTTTGGAGAAGCCGGCTGGAGTCCAAAACAGAAGCTAAGCAATATGAAGCTAACGCTATATTTAGAACACTTTCACAGCTTTAACTTAATGTCAGACTGAGAACTGAGGGAACTGAAGCCAATGTATCACTCCCTGCAAAGCCAGACTTAATTGAGAAAAGCAGTGATTTAACATCAGCAAACACAGGAGCTAGAGCTGGTCTTCTGCTGCCTTAATTAGTTATTTTTTGTTATTGTGTGGCTTTGGTGTCTATAAGGGTTAGTTGGGATTCACTGAAGTCACACTATAACACAAACTAACAAGCTGATTGAGGCAGCAATAGACCAGCAGCTCCTGTGTTTAGTGATGTAAAAATACTGTTTTTTTTTTGTCAATGGAGTCTGGTCACTTTGACAAGAGCATTGATAGGGAACTAAAGCCATTAACTGCTACCTGTTGGAATGTGTGGTCTGATGGCAAGGTAAAATAGTGAAAATACTCTCAATAGAGTAAACTTAAACTGATATTTTGTTTTTGCTGCCCCCCTCCACACCAGTACACTGCTTGGCTTCCACGTCAGCACTGCCTGCTTTTCCAAACTGGAAACTTGCTGACCGCCATACATGGACAGTTTTATCTTTTATTGGCCAGCATAAAAATGGTATTGCCTTTCTTACTTAATATTTTACTATCTCACCTGCTAACTTTAGTTACTGACTTGCAAAACTAAATGGGAACTTGCAATAAAATAATTTTACATCATGTACTGTGTCTTGTCTTTACTAACTGTCCATTTAGGTGACATTATGCCCAGGGTGGTGGTCATTTTATCAAAATTAGCACCAATTAGATCCCCAATTCCTGCAAGTGTTGGCATAAGACAGCCCAGAAACTAATGAACAATAAAAGTATGATACAAACATACCATCTGAAAGATGAAGGTCACAGTCCCACATATGCGAACCGTCTTGTTAAAGCGCAGCTCCAGATACTATCAAAGAGAGAATGTCAAAAGGAAAAAAAGAGTTAACAAAATCACAAGGCTGTTTAGCATATCATCTCAGTCATTCTGTAACATAGGGTCAGTGCTGTCGGTGTTTATTCTCAGAACTGCCAGTTTACTGCCCACAATACCAAAGCCAGAATTTTAAGTAATTCTTTGTTGACAGGACATTCATGCAGCACTTTTCTCTGGCAAATTAGTAATGAATGTCCTTGAGGTTTACGAGAGGAACAGTCTGGCTATAATAGATAAAGACCCTTATAGATGGTGAGTCTTGGGAAAATAACTTTTGTTTCTGTTGAATGTTAACACGCCAAGGATATGCAGACAAGAGGACAGATAAGAGTTTTAAGAGATCATACATGAGACAGACGAGTGAAAACAGAAAAACTGCAAACACAGACAAGATGGATACTGTTTAGTAAAACTATCCATGCACGTTGTGTGTTAATTCTCTGCTTGCGTGTACCTCATAGGCGCTGGAGAGGCGCAGTCGGTAGAAGACTGGTATGAAAACATGAGCTGGGATGAGCAGGCCCAAAAAGTAGGAGCAGCCCAGGAACCAGTACTGAGTCCCGAAGGTGTACACCTCGGAAGGAGCACCCAGGATGGCCACAGCGGACTGGAAAGTGGCCAGCAGGGACAGAGACACTGGCAGGCAGCTCATGGAGCGGTCAGCCATCAGAAACTCCTATAGCAAACAAAATGGCAGTGTCAGACGTCTCTAGAAAGTCAAACTGTGTGACCCATGAAATCTGGAAATTGACCCTGTAGTCTTAAAAGGAATGGAATGACAGTAAGGCTGTCAGGAAAGAGATGGAAGAAAATCTTTTTTGTGTCTACACATCAAAGTCTACCTGTGTTGTGCGTTGGCGCCCACCAGAGAAGGCGTAGAAGAGGCCGATGCCAGCTGAGGCCACCAACAGCAAGGCAAAGATGACATAGTCCACCGTGGTGAAGTGCATTTGGATTACCTCTCCCATGATAACAGTGGATGTGGGGGGTGGGGCTGGGAGAGTGAGGACTGTTGGAAGCACGGTCTCTGGGGCTGATCACGACATCAAAGCGCTTCACCCCTAGGGAGACTCACTGAGAGCTGGAGGAGGAAGAACAGGTGAGGGGGTGATCGAGTTAACGTCGGCAGACACTGTCTCCACATGATTATTATCTGATAAAGCTTACAGTAAGGGCTGGCTCAGGCTGGCCTTGCGAAAGTGCATCATATTCAGACAGAAAGATGTACAGTGTTTGACTGCCCTAGCACAGCTAGTTCATCTACGCCCAGTCCAGGTTTGTAACATTATACTAGCAGCCAACACGTGGAGTTAATAACCATTAGCTATTTTGCGACCCTATTTACTAAATAGGGTTTCAGATTTGGGATTTTATTTGTGTATTTTTCAGATACTTATAAATACATGAATATAACCATAATTATAGCCTGGGCTGGGTGCATGGGATTTCCCCCCGTCTGGTCTATATATCCATAGTGATTAATGTTACATCACCATATAAAATACCTAGAATACCTAACATACCTAATATTTTTACTTGTAGGCTAGATTTGTTTATATATGCTACAGTGATTTGTTATCGAGAGAACTCTACGGTGCGAGCATTTTACTGCATTTGCGACTAAAAATAGTTTTGTGCAAGTAAAAGTTATCATTCAGGAGCACGCTGTGCGAGTACAGATTTCAACCAGCAGCAGAATCCTGTTGGTTGTGGGTTGAATGGGGGTCACAGACACAGACAGGAATACATATTCCTGTCAAATACGGCGGCCATAGTGCTCCGCGGCGCAAGATAACAGCTTACCGGCGACGGAGAAGCCCGGCTCCAGGTCCAGTATTTTCCTCTTTGTTGATGTCATGACTGCCCAAAAGTACCTGAACAGCCGAGCCGTGGCGGCACACAGGTATGTGACGTGTCAGAGGAGAAACAAACTGTTCACATTTCCACAAACCTCACCGCACTTTAGGGACTGTTCTTTACTTGTCAGGGGAGGAGGGTGGCTGGTTGATTTTTATTTTGTTTATTTATTTTATTTTGATCCCCCCTATGTTAATTACTTATTGATGCTGTTTTTGAAGTATGAATAAGTCAATAAGTAATTTATTCCATTGAAATATCAGTGATGTATTATAGAAAAGTAATTTATCTTTTTATAAATGACAAATCACACATCTGCCTCATTTTTGCTGTGGTATCGTGATACTACTCAGAACCATGATACTTTAACTGGTATCGTACCGTGGGACCCAATTTTGGTACCGTGACAACACTATTATTTTATGTATTTTACATTTCAAGTTGTAAAAAGTAAAATGTTTTGTTAAAAAACTATTTTGTTGCATAATGAGAATTGAGAAAATAAAGCAATTTATGTTTTAAATTTGTTTTTTTCTTCCTCAAAAAGTATCGATAAGAGTACCGTTAAAATACCGGATCGATAAGCAGTATCGATAAGAGTAGTAGTACCGTTAAAATCTTAACGATACCCATCCCTATTGCGAATACAGCTGTGGAAAAATCGAATGTGCACTGTGAATTATATTTTGTTTTGTTTAATCTAAAACGAAGCCATGAGTATTAAAGCTGGTCTTGTGTTCATACAGGCCAGGTTTTTTCTGTTGTGAAAAGCAACTGAACTGTGATGGCGAGCTAGTGAAAAGGGCCGTCGAAGAACCTGCTGTAATCAATCATAAATTCAATTTTATTTATAAAGCCCAATATCACAAATCACAATTTGCCTCACAGGGCTTTACAGCATACCACATCCCTCTGTCCTTTGGACCCTCACAGCGGATAAGGAAAAACTCCTCAAAAAAACCCTTTAACTGGGAAAAAAAACACGGTAGAAACCTCAGGAAGAGCAACTGAGGAGGGATCCCTCTTCCAGGACGGACAGACATGCAATAAATAATCTAACACCGTTATTGCTAAATGCACTGTCCATTTTTCAAAACAACAACTTGTCAGAGAAAAATACCAACAACAAAGTCATACATGTAGCCGTTACTAAAATAAGACAGAAAAAGCTATAAAGAAAAACAAAATAGGACTTACCCTATTTGCTGAGTTCAAGCTGCTGCTGGCTGGCTGACAGTGACACACACCGGCCACTCAGATTTAAGGCTCACTTGAGGGGAGTATCTTTGTCACAACCTCCAATCACGGTCACTGTGGAGGCAGAGGAGAATTTGCTTCATCATTTACCACAAGTAAGAAATGGATGAGAAAAATAACCTGTCACAATATTGTTGCACATGATTCAATACCTGTGCAATGTTTTCCAGTAACAGCGGGGTCTTGTCTTTTGGGTGCAGATCATTTTAACCAAACAGAACCCAATCCCTTGTTATGTTTTTACAAGAGACATGTAACAGTGTTCACTTTAGGGAAAATAAGTTTTTAGCTCCTCGCTGTGCTCATCTGAAAATAACTCTCATATTCCACTACACACAAGAACATGTTCCCCACAGTGTGGTGTTAAGCTGCAGTCTCTTATACTATTTCTGATGAGGATGAGCACAGGGGCAGCTGACTGCAGAGAGGTGAGGGGAGAGTTCAATGAGGCTAAAAGGAATGAGGAGAGGAGAGCTCTGTGCTATAAAAGATCAATGGAATGGAAAAGAAATGATGGAAAAATATGAGGTGGCATGTGTTGATCAGAGATTAGCTGTGTGTGCACGCAGGGAGTGGAACAAAGAAACACCTACACAGTATCAAAACATTTGGTTTACGACACATGGTGGATTGGATTCGTTTACAGCCAACAGCTGAAGCCATTCTGAGCTGAGCATAACAGTTACTTTAAACTGAATTTTTCACCTTATGTCTCCAGCAGTGCTTTCACACAGACTAACACAATCAGTCTGTCTGAAAATGAACAGGAATCTCCAAATTCTACTCAAGGATCAGACTCACTTGGTAGGCCTTTATTTAGTCATACACAATGTAGTAAAAATTGAGGATTTTTTTTTAAAGGGAGTCCAGGTCAGGAGAGACAAGTGTCAAACAGCCCTGTGCCACTTTGGGCCTACGATCGATGTGAAACGATATTATCTGCCCATTGAACACAGTCGGTTTTTGCTTTTGGCCATATAAGATTAAAAGAACACATAAATAATGTAAGTTCTTGTAACTGCTTAAGTGCAGTAAAGTTTACTTTAAACTGACTCCACTAACACTCATATACTAACGTGGAAAGTTAACCTTCAGGACCTCCTGTAAGAAAGACCTTTCTGGGAGAAATCTTTCATTTTAACCCAAACCATCATCTTTTTCATAAAACTTCAGGAATATCTGTCTTAAAGCCCTGAAGGAAAACACAGATTAACAACAAGATCACTCAACAAAAGTATAACATTCATCTCAGTAATAACCGTCAAGGTTCAGAGACAAAACAACTGTTTTTTGCTTATCACCAATTATTAGCGTTAGCATGTTTAGACTGCATAAATTAGCCTAGCGGCTAGCAGACATTTTTCGTTCTCTCATGGCTTAACAAATTACATGCAACATTATTAGTTTTCTAATGTGCATGTGCTGTCAAAATATTTCCACATGGCTGATTTATTCCCTAGTAAATAATGCTATCACTGTCGTCTTTCTCTGTGCTGCTTACCGTCTACCTGCCGCTGTTTGACAGTGACACAGACTTTCAAAATAAAAGCATTTTCTAAAGATGACGATATGGATCGATGTTTTCACTGTGCATCGATGACACTGGATCGTTCGTCATTTGATCGGTAAATCGATCCACATCAACTGATCGTTACACCCCTAATATTGATGCAGTTGACACTGTTTATAAGGCGCTGCCAACGTGCATGTTTTATGTCACACTGGAGGCTTGTGCTACATATCAGGACTGTGACACCTCTTTGGATTCCGTGATGCTGGCATGCTGTCAAAAATCACACACTGGAGCGCCATGATGCAGCCGTTGTTTGAGTCTGTGTAAAAATGCAAAGGGGGCATAAAGAAGGGACTTCCTAGTGTCTCTATAGTGCGATCTCTGTGTAAAAAGGGCTAAAAACAAGAGACAGGGCAATGCTGTCTTTGCAGTCAGTTTCTCCTGGTTAGGATTCCTTCAGTGTTCATCAGTAAGGAGGTTTTTATCAGGAGCAGAATTATCCACAGAGGTCTCCTCCTCATGAGCTCCCAATCATTTTAAGTGATAAATCTCCTGAATTAGCCAATACTGGCTTGTCACAGATATCATCATATTGGCGTGTGTGTGTGTGCAGATAGGTGCAGCAAACTTGAGTAATACATGTATGTGCTGCTTGTGATACGTATTTGATATAATTCTAGTTTAACGTTTTTGTTGGTTCATTTTTGCAACCCAGGAAACTGATTGAAACTCTTACTACGTACTACTTTCACATAGACAACTGCTGAGCTGTTCTTCAGAAAAGGACTTAACCAGCCATCTTCACATGCTGGCAGCTCCAAATGGCTGTGAAGGGCAACTGTTTCAAATAACAAGAGGCAAAAGATCTAGGTTGAAGTGCTTGTTTGTTTCCATTTGGCAACTTCTACGTGTCAGAAACGAGTCTCTGTAGTAAACAAAACTCTGCAAGGATTTGCATATGAGACTGAGTGTGAGATCATGTTTGTATGCGGGTTCATCAAATATCAGTAGTTTTCTGTACCGACAGGCCTGTCTGTGTGATACGCTGTGCTGGTTTGATCAAGCGCTGGCCAAGAGGACTGACCCCATTAAATCCCACTCTTATCATTATGGCTTATTATCACTAATCTACCTGGGAACAGAAGCAACTGCCAGCAGCTCATTTAATTCAAAAACACCCATCACGTGGAAGTTTCAACAGAATGCATGTAGCTCTTTAACTAATGTTAAAGCCAGAGGCAAGTTCATTCATTATGAAAATCCATTACTACTATGTCAATCTTTTGCAGATGCTAGTCACTGTGGTTCAAGGCATTCTGAGAAATCTACTTAACAAATAAGTAAAGATCCCCTACAGTATGTATAAGTTAAGAGTGTCTGCAGTATGTATGATGGGGACCTTGTTTTGCTGTCTCACAGAAATCTTTGCTCCTGTTAAGAAGTACAGGCTGGAGGTGGCAGCCCTTTGTTGCAAACCTTTGATGCCATTCTGAAATGGGCAGCATCAATGTGAGAAAAAGGTTAAAACCTGACTGAGTACAAAGGGCCCTTTGATTAAAATCCTTCCAGTGAAGGAAGCCCACTGGCTTCACACTGTGGAACATTAGTAAGGCAAAGCTACTTAAAATGCCAAACTGACTTGTGCCTGTTCAGTTAAGGTGTGGGACACTTCATGTCAGTACAGTACACCCTGAGTGGGCAGCAGCACTCTGAATGAACATCTTAAAAGGTTGATTGACAGTCTACTTGAAAATAAAAGGCCAAACCAGAAGCAGGAACAAAGTTGACCCATCTCAAATGGACAGCACTACTGTCGACCTCATGGAAATCAAAGCAAACTGTTATTATCCTATTAGGCTAAACACAAATCCCTGTATCCTGTACACAAGAGTGATGACACAATATTGTAGCTCAACATGCAGAATACTGGTACTGTAAAAATAATATTAAGTATGAATAAACTGCAAAAAGAACAGCTGAAGAGTAAAAATCCATCATAAAATAACAGTAATAATATTCAGAAGATCCTTTACAGTGAACCCAGAGAAAACCTCCATCTCTAGTCTTTAAAGATGGAGCACACGGGAGGCTGTTTTAAATGTTGTAAATCGCCCCCCCTCAAACAGTACCAAAAATCCCAGCATGCAAAGCTTACAGAACTGCTTCATTTTATGAAACACAAATGTGATTTTCCTCACAACCATAGAACCAAGTGCCACAGTCAGACCTCGAAGCACTACGGTCCAACTGAACTGACCTTTACAACACAGACACTCTAATGGTATAGACTTCCTGAGCCTACAGTCTGCAGGCTATTTCCATACTATATGAGAAGATGAACGGTAGTGCTCGTGTGCAAGTAGGCACTCATAACTGCAGATACATTCAAATGGAATAAAAAAGTATTTGCAGGGTTTTAAGTTAGCACCAGCCAAATGCTGGTAAAATATGTAAGTGGCTGCTTAATTTGCTTCACTCCCCAGCCTTAAAACAATAAAAAAAAAAAAAAAGGTGGACTAACAGTTAATTTCCAACCCTGATATTTGATTCTGGTCTATCTGATAAAATCCCATATGGCAGCTGGCATCACCAAGTGGTGGACTGAGTGATGGTTTTATCTAGACCCATGACCAATTTCTGATCATAAAACAAGAAATAATCTTCACGGAGCATTTGTTTTTTCTCCAGCAGCCATGGCTCAAGACCACGGGCAATAGCTTCACTCAATTGAGCCAATCCAAATAGTTGTTAACATTACATAGACAGTACACTAGAGAAATTAACAGCGTAAGAGATGTTAGAGAGATTATATGAAGCAACTGACCTGCTATTTTTTCTATCTAGGAAAGGAAGTATGAATAAAAGTAGTGCCATATAAATTCAATGTGTGTTTGTTAAAAGTATCCTCATTTGAAAAATGACTGTAAATATTGTGGAAATGATGTTACAATGTACAATGTTGAATTCTAACATTCGGAGATTTGGACATTTGCTTTAAGGAAATTTTACTGCCTGGACCTCTTTAAATCTTAATTGAATATCAGTGCCACATGGGCCTTATGGCATTCACTCTATGTTTTTACTTGCATGACACAAAACAGTAGCCCAAGAGGCAACTTAAATGGCTTGCTGCGAAAGATAGTACTTGGGGAATCTTCAGTACAAAAGGAAAATAGCTTACAGCAAGCAATTTGCTTCTGCACCAGTTGTCCGAGGCCTATTTCACGAGAGCTGTGCCTTTTAACCACACGTGAAAAATGGGCAACACATGTATAACTCACATCCAACATCACGACGAGTCCCAGTATTTAAGTCAATGCTTCAGTTGAGGCAGGTGAAGGTTCAATCCTTTTATTCATGCTGATCACCTATTATCTGTCACGTCTCTTCTCCAGCCCACAAGAGGAAAAAAGAACACAAATTCAACTCTGTGTGCAGTACTGCCTGTGTTTTGGTTGGGCTGTGTGTGCGGTAGTGATGGTGTCATTGCAAATCACACAAGGAGGTCAGGGAGGCTGTGGTTGCCTGGCAACACAGGGAC